ATAAACTTCAGTGATTCCCAATAATTGGGAAGATTTTACGTTATCACCCTTCACCCTGGGCCTGTGTTTCTCCAGTTGAAATGCAGGAGTTTCCAACATCCAGCAGGATTTTCCCTTAGGGACGCTGAATCTCAGAGTTTTGGGGTGAGGCCCTAACCCGAGTCCAGTTAATGAACAGTGGGAGCCCTGAAGAATCCCAGGATTTAGGGAGCTGCTGCCAGGGCCAGATGAAGTCACTCTGATCCTCCTCTCCAGCTGGTTTATTTTTCATTGAACCACAACGGTTCCTCTGAGTTCCTGAAGTTGATGTCATTGGAAGTGATGTGACATTTTTTTTTTTTGCAAGCATATAGAATAAGTGTTAAAAAATGCTCCAGAAAGAGCTTTTCCAGCCTTGTCTGGGAGCTGGCTGGGGACTTGAGTTAAACTGGCTTTGATGGAACTTAATCCATAAAGCAAATGAGTCATCAGGCATAAATGGCTTTACCATAAATGTCAGGCAGATCCTTACTGCTCCTGACAGTTAGCACTTCCATCTGTCTGGTGGAGCAAATGAAACCCTCACAACTCACAGTCCTGCTCAGAAATGGGCTGTCCTGCCTCTTCCTCTGCACCAGAAGTTTTAGGAATAAAGGCCAAAGTGGGATTTATCCCTTTCTTTTAAACGCCGCCTCTCCTAATCTATACAATTGTGGTTATTGGCAAAAAAAAATTGAATTTTTTATTCTCCGCTTGAAATTTTTTTTTTTGTTAAGCCAGCAAAACACAACTGAGCTCAGCCTCTGGATGCTACCAAGTGCTCCAGTCACTGGAGAACTTCCTTGAGCCTTTTGCCCAACTCATTGCCAGGCCAAAAAAGAGCTTTCCCCACTGTGTGGGTGGCTGGGGGATGCTGCTGGTGACTTCCACAAAGCAACAGCAGAGTGTTTCCATCTTGCTACCTGCCTGAAATAACTCATTACTTGAAAACAAATCTTTGATTTGGCTGCTCGGGCCTTTAAACCCCTTTATTGGTGCATTTTTCAGTTGTCTCTCTTGGAAAACCCTGTCCCACACCGAGCTGTGCATGTGGATTAATGGAATCTTTGTTAGCGCTGCAAAAATCCAGCTGGGAAGGAGATTTTGGGCTGGTCAGGCCTTTAAACCCCTTTATTGGTGCATTTTTCAGTTGTCTCTCTTGGAAAACCCTGTCCCACACCGATCCGTGCGTGTGGATTAACGGGATCTTTGTTAGCGCCGCAAAAATCCAGCTGGGAAGGAGATTTTGGGCTGGTTTGTGACCAAACCAGGGAAACAAACGGACACTTGAGGGTGGAATGGGAGCAGGGCTGGCTCCCCTTTGCCAGGCAGGATCCCTGGGTCCCTGGGCACAATTTATTAGCAGCAGCACACTGGAGAGGACACAAAAGGCTCCCGAACCTCCCAGCGCGGCTGGCTCCATTGAAAGTTGCTTTTTAAATCTCAGAAATGGGGCTCTTGACAGCAGAGCTTTGTGCAGCTTTTGTGAGGTGCAGATAGTGGGGCTTTTTATGGCAGCCCAAATTAGCCCCTTTTATTGTTTGCTGCTGAGGGATGAGGTCAATTGACTGGGAATCTCGCTAACAAGGTTTTTACTCCTGGCTGCTTTTTACAAGTGTTAGCACGGGGTATCCCCCAGTGCTGGGTGCTTGCTGGGAGTGAAACAAAGATGAATGGGCTGAGCTCTCCTCCTTTCCCCCTCCCCTGAGCTGCTCAGCCTCTGTGCTGGGCCTCGGGTGCTCCCAGTTTGGGCTCTCAGTTGTCCCTAATTTGGTACTCCTGGGTTTTGCATTGGTTCAGCCTTGGTTCTCCTGAATTTTGAGTCAGTTCAGCCTTGGTTTTCCTGGATTTTGCATTGTTTGAGCCTTGGTTCTCCTGGATTTTGAATTGGTTCAGCCTTGGTTCTGCTGGGTTCTGCTTTGGTTCAGCCTTGCTTTTCCTGCAAGGAGATTCAAAACTGGGTTTTGAGTCAGTTCAGCCTTGGTTTTCCTGAGTTTTGCATTGTTTGAGCCTTGGTTCTCCTGGATTTTGCATTGTTTGAGCCTTGGTTCTCCTGGGTTTTGCATTGGTTCAGCCTTGGTTCTCCTGAGTTTTGCATTGTTTGAGCCTTGGTTCTCCTGCATTTTGCATTGTTTGAGCCTTGGTTCTCCTGGATTTTGCATTGTTTCAGCCTTGGTTCTCCTGGGTTTTGCATTGGTTCAGCCTTGGTTCTCCTGGGTTTTGCACTGGTTCTCCTGCATTTTGCATTGGTTCAGCCTTGGTTCTCCTGGATTTTGAATCAGTTCAGCCTTGGTTTTCCTGAGTTTTGCATTGTTTGAGCCTTGGTTCTCCTGTATTTTGCATTGGTTCAGCCTTGGTTTTCCTGGATTTTGCATTGTTCAGCCTTGGTTCTCCTGGGTTTTGCACTGGTTCTCCTGCATTTTGCATTAGTTCAGCCTTGGTTCTCCTGCATTTTCCAGGCTGGAACAAGCCAAGGATGAGCTCTGGGCAGGGTGATTGGCTGGGTTTGAAAGGGAGAGGGGAAGCAGCAGCCTGTGGAGCGTGGTGAGCTCTGGCGGAGCCGTCTGATGCTTTTTCCTGGCACTCCCCCACATTTATTCAGTTGTGCACTGATTTCCCCAAGTTCCTGACCCAGAATGAGCAGGAAGCTTCCCCTGCTCAGCCTCCCCCTCTCACCCAGCACAAACCATGGGGCCCACGCTGTCCTTGGGTGTGTTGAGGTTCAGTTTTCTGCAGGGATTTGCAGGTGGTTTTGTTTTTCATATTCTCCAAGGCTGAGGATGCCCAGGCAGGGTGGGATCAAGGCTTTTCCCCATGCATAGCTCAGGAGCTGCCATCAGCTGAGACTAAAAACAAACCCAGCTTTAGCAAATTCTCTTCTGCTTAACCTTTGGCACTGTGTTTAGCCAGGATGCCTTTCCTTGCTTTATCTGTTCCTTGAGGAAACGCAGCTCCAGCCCTGCTCGCTTATGGGATGCAGCCTATCAGCTCTCCACGAGGTGTAAATCCAACCTTATCAGGGAGAAAAAGCTTTTTCAGCCTCCCCTGCCTCTTGGAGACAAGTCCCAGGTCTGCTTTGGGGCTGCTTTATTTCAGCTTATCCCAGCAATGCCAGGCACTTCCCATCTTCCCATGGAAAACTGGGAGCTTTAAGCACCTGAGGGAGAGGAGGGCCCAAGTGGCTTAGCTGAGGTGTCAGGGAGGGCTGGCTGAGGTCCTGGGGGCAGAAAGAGCAGCTGGAAGGGTTTTCACAGCAGCCACAGATTCCTTGGTCGAGTTGGGTATTCCCTGCTGGAGGGAATTCCAAAGGAACAGGTTTGGAGCTCTGGAGTGCCTTTGGGGACAGGGATGGTTTTATAATTTATTAATTTATGGCCTGAGTAACCCCATAACAACCCCAGGACCTGGGGTCCTGGAGGTCCCACCATGGACCAATGGGTCCCATGGGCAGGTGGTGGCCAGAGCTGCTTGGAAAAAAGGAAATGTTCTACAAAAATTAAAAAAAAAATTCAATCTTGGAATATTTCATTTCCCCAATAATCTTAGCCCAGTTTTGGTGGTTACATTGCAAAAGAAAAAGCTGGAATAGTAATGGCAGGACTGGATTTATATTAACAAAAAAAAAAAAAAAGAAAAGGGAAAGGGAAAGAAAGATGTTTCTTGTTTTAAAAGTGGAAAATTGAAACCCCTTTGCAGACATTTCTGTTAATTTTGTAAAGGTTATTCACTGGAAACAATGACTAATGAGCTTCAATGAATGCTCTTTGAAGGGTGACTGGGGTAGGTCTGAGAGGTGCCCAGATGTTCCTGAGCTGCTGCAGGGAGGGAAGTGACAACCTGGGAATGGAGGAGGGAGCTCCAGGCAGCTCTGAGCTGCTCCTTGCCCAGCGGATCTCTGCCCAAAATGTGAGCAGCATTCCCTTTTTTGGGGGCAAGTCAGTGGGCAAGTCCATGATCCAGTCACACCAAGGCAGATTTGGCCCAAAATTTCAAAAATATCCTTTTCCACAGGGCTGTTTGCCAGTCTGGCCAGGCTCCCTTTGGAGCTTCTGGTTCCTATTACCGCCCAAATCATCCTCCCAGTTTTGCTGTAAGACTCCTGCTTTTCCCCCTGATGCTTTAGCCTTGTTTGTCTATTATTAAATAAGAATTTTATTTTTTTCCCTCCCCTAATTAAAGTATCAGCTCTAAGCATCCAAGTAGTAAGGTCTTATGTAACTGTCTGCTGAATGAACTGGATTTTGGCATCGTGGTTGAGCAGCGTGGTGGCTCTTTAGGAAACTCAAGAGCAATTTCTGCTCTGACCTTCTGGCTGTGGCTGTGTCGGCCTTCAGGGAGCAGCTGCTCCATTAACCAGCCCTGGTGCCTAATGAGCTTCCTCTGCACCTGGGTTTTAGTATAAAAAGGCCTCCCTTTGGCTCTTTTCTGGGTTTATCAGATGCATTTCTAATCTCTGGCTGTGTCTGTTGTGGGTGGAACATAGAGGTAAGGAAAGATGCAAAAAAAAAGGGGGGTGATATGAGACCAGCTGGTGGGGTGGGAGAAGCAGAGAAGTTTTGAGGTGAAAAAGCAGCTTTTGGGACTGGCCAAGGTGACTTTGCAGCCCTGCATAGGACCAGGTGGAAAGGAGTTGTTTTATTGCTGATTTGGGGGGGGGCACAAAGCCTTTTTATTTTTATTTTTCCTGCACTTGCCTTGCTTGGGGCCGCTGGTGCCGTCATACTGGGTGATTTGTGTTTTGGGGAGGTGGATTTTGGGCTGGGCATGAAGCACAGTGGGTTCACACTCGTGGAGCAGCCCAAGAGAAGCAGCTGCTCCCTTGGACATGGAGCTTTTCCCCTGGCTCATCGCAGGGGATGTGCCCATGTCAGGAAGGTGGTTCTGCTTTCAGTTTCTTTGTGTTTCTGGCTTTGATCACAGCCCCAGGCTGGTGCCTCCAGGAGCAGCACCCACCCCTGACCCTGTGTGCTCCCTCCCTGCAGGGTGACATCCAGCAGCTCCTGATCGTGGCGGACCCGCGCGCAGCCCTGGAGTACTGCGAGCACTACAGCCCCGACTGTGACACCGCCATCCCTGACTCCCCCCAGTCCCAGGACCCCAACCAGGATGAATACGTGAGTCTCTGGGGATGGTTTGGGCTGTAACCGCCCATATTTGGGTTTATTTCACCCTCTCAACCACGTGGCTCCTTCCTCGTGCTCAGCTTCCCCACGACTCGTCTCCAGCGTCCAAGACAGGGATTGGTTTTAGGATTTGCACGTTCTGGGTTTGGATCTTGGGAGTTTCTCTTCTTTCTGAGCTCCTTCCATTTCCAGAGACTGAAAGGAACATCCTTTTGGAGCTCAGAAACACAGGAGAGACAATGTGAGCCAAGTGTGGATTACTGACCTTCCCTGGCAGCTCCAGTCCTGTCCAGACCAGCACCTGTTTCTAAATTTCCAGTTATGCTGTTGGACTTGTAAAAGGATTAAACAGTTATTTCTCAATATTCTGTGAAACAACAGGTGTTAAAGGAGGGAGAACCATTTTTCCCCTGGATTTCCTTTTAATCTCATTTTGGCAGAAATGCTTCCAAGTCATCCCTGGGAGCTGCTGTGCCCAATAATTTTTGTATGAAGTGTTCACCCCAGGCCTTTTCCTTTAAAAAAGGAAACACTATAAAAAAGTCTGGTGGAGGGTGCATTTGCATGTTTGCTGCCCAATCAGAAATGTCTGGGTGTGGCTGAATTTAATGAGCATCCCCTGAATTTTGCCCTTTTTAAAGAGGTCTCGGCTCGCTGCAGTTGCTGTCTGGCATCCTGACATCCTCTAGGGCTGAATTGCTTTCAGCTGAGCCCAGACCTGCAGGGTCAGGGAATCCCCACAAACCAGTAATGCCATCAGCCCTGCCAGTTTATCTTTGGGATTAAATTAATCCAGCACCTAAGCAGGGCTTTGGGATGCTCACGGCGAGGCACAGCCCGGGGCGAGCGCCGCGGCCGCTCCGCCAGCGCTTCTGCAGAAACAATAAATAGCACAAATAAAACAGCACTTTGGTGGAAATCTGTGGCAGCAGGAAAATAAAACTCCTCTTTTGGAGCCAGCAGTCCAACAAGAGCTGGCTTGTCCCGAGGCTGTGTTGCTCAATGTAGGAGCAGCTCCACGCGCCGGCGGCCGCTGCCAGGGAGAGCTGGGCTGGCGAGGAGCGGGGCCGTGCCCGCCTGGAACCAGCCTCTGTTTGGGTTTCTTGCTCAAGAGTGAGTGACTGATGCCTTGTGGGCAAGGCTGCAAGGATCTGCTCCTCCAGGGCCTCCAGCCTGCAGGCCTGGGGTGGCTGGGAAGTCACAGGGGCATTGTGAGTGCAGGAATGGTGCCAGAGCGGCCACAGGGCTCGAGGGCTTTCTGCCCCTCTCTCAGGGAGGTCAGGTGTGGCAGGTCTGGGAGGTTTCAGCAACCCAAGGTTGAAAAAACTATCATGGAGTCACTGGTTTGTGTTGGAGGGATCTTAAAATTTACCAGATTCCATCCCTTGCCAGGGCAGTGTCGCATCCTGCAATCCCACATTCCTCCACACCCAACCTGCTCTTGGACACTTCCAGGGATGGAGCAGCCCCAGCTGCTCTGGGTGACCCATTCCAGGGAGGAATTTCTCCCAAATATCCCCTTGGACACTTCCAGGGATGGAGCAGCCCCGGCTGCTCTGGGTGACCCATTCCAGGGGGGAATTTCTCCCAAATATCCCCTTGGACACTTCCAGGGATGGAGCAGCCCCAGCTGCTCTGGGTGACCCATTCCAGGGGGGAATTTCTCCCAAATATCCCATCTAGACTCGCGGTGTGAAGCTGTGATGTCCACAGGAGCTGGCAGGGACACGCTGGGTGCTCCCCACTCATTTCCTGCTTCTCCTCCTCTCCCTGCAGTACACGGACGGGGAGGGAGAAGGTGACACTTACTACTACGAGTACCCTTACTACGAGGACGTGGATGAAGCTGTCAAACCAGAAACCCCCACCACCAAACCCAGCCCTCCTGAAGTGGCTGCTGGAGAGAAACCCGAAACCAAGCAGGTACTGAGGCAGGTCCTGGCAGGGGTGTGGGTGCTGAACCTTTGTAAAGGGGAGGATGATGCAGAATAATTTTGTTGCTCTGATTGTGGCGCTTTATTTCCCACGTGTGACAGGAATATCCAGCTCCCACAGCACCCCCTGAGAGAGGGAACCCCGGGAAGCAGGCCAAGGAGGATGGAGCAGTGGATGATCCCCTGGTTGATGAGTACAACTACGAGACCATCAACGAGGAGTATTTTACTCCCATGCCCTATGAGGATATCAACTACAACGAGGAAATCGATCCCCAGGGTGGCCTCACTGAAAATGCAGTGGAAGCTGAGCTCCCCACGAGCACTGTCGTCACCTATAATGACACTGATGTAATTTTAATTCATTAATTTTAATTTTTTTTTCAATTAATTCTGCTGTTTCATAGCCCTGGAAGCAAAGGGGACGGGAGCAGCCAGATGGTAAATCCATAAGTGGTTCAGGCAGCTGCAGGGAGAGGAAGTTTCTTGGAAAATGTTTTCACTCCAGATTTTTCAGGGTGGGGAACGCAGATATTTAGAATTTGGTTAAGGATTATTCCCCTGGAAAAAGCGGCTCATATTGACATCTGCATTTCCTGGGGTGAAGTGGTTGTCCGACAAAAAAGAAAAATGAGGGTTGCTGTTAAAATCTCAGTAAAAGCCTTTTATCCCAAAGTTATTAATATAAATCCTTAAAATGTTGATTTGCTAGAGAACATCAATATTTTTCATTTTGCCATTTTCCCTGAAAAGCATTTTTATGTTTTTCAGTTTGTTTTTTTTTAAAAAAAAAAACATTTCAACACTGGAACAAAGCCTTGATTCCAAAACTGCTGCATCCACCTGGAGTGAACTCCTTTATTCTGTGCATGGATCTTCTCAGGGCTGGGATCAGCCCAAACCCCACAGCTTTTGCTGCTGGAATATTGAACTTTTACCTCCCCACACTTCAATATCCTCCAGCTGAAATGCTGCACTCGAGACCCCCCCTGTGCTTAAGTTCTTGCTTTTGATGTTGATGCTGAAATAGGTGAATGTTGGTGAGACTGAGATGAATTTTTGGGGAGCTGGGTGCTGTGGGGCTCACAGAGCAAGGAAATAATGGCATTAAATGGGCAAATCCCTCATTACCCAGGAGCAGCAGCAAGGGAATCACAGGTGGGAGAACATGGAATTGCTCTCTGAGCAACCTGCTCTGGTGGAAGATGCCCCTGCCCATGGCAAGGGTTTGGAACTGGATGAGTTTTCAAGTCCTTCCAGCCCACACCATCCCATGTCTCTGTAATGCTTCCAAATCCCATCCTAATTCCCAGGAAAAGCTTGGGGGGTGCTTTCTCCAGTGGAGAATTATTTGTTGTGGGGCTGGCACAATCCAGGGCTGGCAAAAGAGACAGCAAAAGTTGGCCAGGATCCCTGGAGGTGGAGATTTGAGGGAAAAGGTGTCAGGGAAAGTGTCCAAGCAAAGATCTGAGCAGCTGGAGAGAGGCAGGTGCAGATCCAAGGGCAGGGGGGATCCAGTCCAGCCAAAATGTGGTGGAGGAGGTTGGAGAGCCCAGAATGAGGCACAGGGAGGAAAGGAAAAGGCTCCAGGAATTGAGGGAGACAATGGGAGGGAACCCATGGATGGGAAAGTTTTCCATTTCCTGACCAAGAGCCAGAAATCCTTGGCCAAGCTTGGATTTCTAAGAGAGAGGAATTAAAGATTGGATAGAGGGGCCTTAAATATAAAAGTGGAAAAGGAAGGAGGAGGCTTCAAGGGCCACTTTAGTTGTTAAGGAAAGGAAATAGAGGAGGAAAGCTCAGGCAGGGAACTGCCCACTTACTCCAAATATCATCTTTCCATGCAAATAGACCTGAAGACCTCAATTAAAATATCAAACCAGACATTTCTGATATTCATTTCATGTAATTTGCTGTTATCCTCAAAGCCTTAGAGGCAGATGAGATTTTTTAGATTAGGTTTCAAAGTGCAAAACCAGGTGAAATATTTCAGCCAGGATAAAAAGTGGGGGGGTGTGATAGCAACAGATCCATTTGAACCAGCCCAAAGGAAAAACAATCCTGGCTTTTCCAAGTTTCCTAATTAAATAATTGCCAAACTATAATTTCTGCCAAGGCCAGTTGGTGTTTGCAGATATAAGGGAAGGTGGGCTGGTGAGTACCTTAGTTCTAGGTTTAATCTTAATTTAAAACCTCCTGAATTCAGACCCAGATGTTCATGTTTATGACTCCTGAGCAGTTTTGGCACAGAAAGAAGTCTGGAAGTTGTGATGACAATGAAGTGACTTTGAATCCGTAGTAGTGAGGAGATATTTCTCTAGGAAGCACTGGAGAGAATTCAATTTCTGGACTATTTTGGTCATTACCTGGGTAGGAAAGAAACCAAATCAAGCTCAGCAGCACATGTTGTTCTTTACAGGCTGCTCAGAGCGAGGGGTGCCAAAGGGCTGAGCCTGCCAGGCTGCTGGGAGCACAGGGGGATGGACAGCAGCAAGGAAATTCTGAGCCTTGTCTGGATGTCCTTGCTGTGCTCCGTGGCATCTGAAGGGATTCTGAGAGGATTCAGGGGTTGAGGCACCGGATTTGGAACAACTTCTGCTCCTTGGATGGGCCCAGGCGCAGATTGGATCCCAGACTAAACAAACAGGAGGCTCTCGCAGAAGTGAACTTGGGTTTTTCCACATTTCCTGTGTAACTGGACACTGACAGTGACACATCCTGGGTTTGGTGTGCATCTGAAATCTGGGAACGGATGTGGGACTCCTTGGCCTTGATAATCCAGGGTCTCCAGCACCGGGGCTGTGAGAGATGAGGAGGATTTGGAGCCTGAAACTTCCATTACCTCTTCCTTCAGGCATTTGCAGTTTGCAGGGTCCTCCTGACACGAGCTTTGTGCTGTGTTGTGTTTTCCTCACTCCAGCTTTTCTACTCTCAGTGTTTTACTGGGGATCAGTGAAGAAATCCCAGGGAAAGCCAGGGTGTGTATTTGACATGAAGCTGCTCCCATCTGTCTTCCTGCTGTTGGAGAAGTCACTGGAGACTTAAAAATTCCAGAATTTAACTTTTCCCCGGGTTTTCCCCTTGTCATTGTCATTATAAAGCATCCTCATTTTACAAAAGTCAACCCCTTGATCTAACAGCAATTAATATTCCAGCATGGAGAGAACTCCAGCCTGACCCAGTGCTGCTCTTTCCTCTCCAGGCTGCTCAAGGAGGGGATGACCTGGACAAAGATTTCACTGAGGAAACCATAAAGGAATATGATGGGAATTATTATGACAGTTATTACGACCGGACAGCCTCTCCTGACATTGGCCCAGGCATGCCAGCCAACCAGGACACCATCTACGAAGGGGTGAGAGGCTTTCTGCTCCATCCAGCACCATTCTGCTTCAAAATGTTGGTCCTTCCATAACTTAGAGTAGAATTAGTGCAAAAAAAAAAAAAAAACCAACAGGATTCACCCACCTGCAACTTGTATTTAAAGAAGGAGGAGCTGCCCTGGGTGTTTCCTGCAGGGTTGTGCCAGGATCTCCAGTTCCTGCTGGGGTTGGTGGTGGTGATGATGATGATGATGATGGTGGTGATGATGGCAGTGTCCTCTCTGACCGTCTGGTTTGTGTTTCCCTTGTCCCACAGATTGGTGGCCCCCGGGGTGAGAAGGGGCAGAAGGGGGAACCTGCCATCATTGAGCCGGTAAGGAGCACCTGAGTTTGGGGTTTTGTTGGTTTTTTCCCCCCTCCCCATGGAAAAAGGTGCAGAGAATTTGTTCTCATTGGGACAGCTGGGAGAAAAACTCCCCATGAAAGAATTCCCTGGTTCATTGAATCTAAACCACCGTAATTATATAATTTTATTTGAAAGCTTCAAGGAATGACCTAAATCGTGAAGGAAGTGCAAGAATTCCCATGAAATCTCTCCTTTAGCAAAATAAAACCTGGGACTGGAGTGTCGGGCAGGGGGCAGCTCTCATCCCTCAGGGGTTTGGGAGCATCCAGGTTGTATCCTGCCCTGAACTCCCAGCCTGGGCCACCAATGGGAATAATTTTATCCCTGTGGGAATAAAAGGGATAGAAAATAAACCCCTGCAGCACAAAGCTGTGGAGAGAGAGGTTTGCTCCTGCACCAGCTCCACAGCCCCACAGCTTTTCCTTTGTGGAACCCTCTTCCTTTGTGGAACCCTCTTCTTTGTGGAACCCTCTTCCTTTGTACTTCTGGCCTGATTTTGAGGTTGATTTTCCTTCTAAAGAACAATTCCCAGCTGCCTGTGCCCTCTGCAAAAGCTGTGGGTGCCCAACCCAGCACGCCGAGGTGGGGAAGGAGCCTCGTGGTGGGGCTGCCTCAGGGGCTCCTGTGAGCAGAGCAAAAGGCTCTTGGTAAATTCCCATTTCTCCCCTCTCTGTGTGCCAGGATGCCCGGGTGCCCCGTTCCTGCTCCTCCCAGGCTGGAATTGGGCAAAAGGCTCTTGGTAAATTCCCATTTTTCCCCTCTCTGTGTGCCAGGATGCCCGGGTGCCCCGTTCCTGCTCCTTCCAGGCTGGAATTGGGGATCAGCTCCTCACACCCACCTGCCCCAGCCCCATCCCTGCGGGCTGAGCTCCTGCTGGCTGCACACCCACAGCTCAATTAACCTCATTTTCCTTGGCAGAGGGCCAGCACAGCGCTTCCCGTCATCCTCGGGCCATTATTTCCCTTTTAATTTTTCCTCCTTTTCCTCTTTCACCTGAAATTTCTGCAGGTGCTGGGGGTGCAGTAGCGTGGCTTCAAAACTCCAATTTAGCCCCTTGTAAAAACATTTCTGACCCTTTCCCTCCTCCTCTTCCTTTCTGGGTCTCTCGCTCTGCAAACAAAAGGAGGAGCTGGCGATTTCCTTATCAGAGGGGTGGAAAGGGAAGGGAAGGGAAGGGGGGCAGCCAGACCCCACGAAGACGATGGCAGAAACCCAGCCTGAAAAGCTACAAAGCAAACAAAATAGTTAAGTTTAATCATCCAGAAAGAATTTGGCCGCCTTTGCTATTTCAAAACACTGGAGCATGGATGGCTTTTGCCAGAAAGTAAACAAGACCAAATGCTGCCTTGTCCCTCTCCCTGCAGCTCCTCTTGAGCAGGGAAATTCGGATTTGCTGCGCTCTTTTTTTTTCTTTTTTTTTTTTTTCCCCCCAGTTTTTGATGGGAGCTGCAGGAGAAGGGAAATAAAACCCAAGCACAAAGTTGGATTCTGGTGGATTTTCACTCCTTGCCTTTCAGGACCCAGCTGTCCTTCAATCCTTGCTCTGTGCTGACACTTGCTGGAGGCAGCGGGGCAGGGCAGGGGCAGGAGGGATGCAGGGATCCCAAATATCCCAGCTGTGGGGTCACCAGGCTGCTGGCACCTCCTCAGAGCCCTCTGTCCTTCAGGGGGGGACCCTGGTGCTCCCTTTTAGGGAGGGTTTGCTCAGCACCTCTGAATTGCAGCAGGGTTTTGGGCTGGTTTGGGGATGTTGGCTTCACTTGCGGGCGGTGTCCGAAGTGGAACCCTTGCCCTGTTTTCCCCTGGGACAATCCCAAATCCACGGTTGGCTTGCCTCCCTCAATGGGATCACCCCACTGGCGCTGTCCCTAAAACCCTGCCACGTTCCCACTGCTCCCATTGATGAACATCCATGGGAACACGGGAGGTTTCCTGCCAAGGAGAATCTCCAGATGTCCCCAAGGCCCCAGCTCAACATAAACCAGCAGATAAATATGGGAAGATGCCAAGGATGTTTGCATCCCAAATGGGCCAATTATCCCTGACCCTTCCCCCTGGGGAGGAGTGTCCTGGGGAGCAGAGCCTTGGTGCTGTGTGTGCTCACAGCAGCCCCCCAAAAACCTCCTGCTGCTGTGGGCTGGGATTCCCTGCACCCTGATTAATTCCTGGTTTAGAACCTGTCACACCAGAATGTGCCACCACTGGTCCCGAAAAGGATGGGTTTGGGGGTGTCCATATGCTGGGAGCTCAACAAGGATGGATTTTGGGGTGTCCATATGCTGGGAGCTCAACAAGGATGGGTTTGGGGGTGTCCATATGCTGGGATCTCCACAAGGATGGGTTTTGGGGGTGTCCATATGCTGGGAGCTCAACAAGGATGGGTTTGGGGGTGTCCATATGCTGGGAGCTCAAGAAGAACCATCCAAAATCCCTCATTTTGGGGTGTCCATGTGCTGGGATCTCAAGAAGATCCATCCAAAATCCATCATTTTGAAGTGTCTATATGCTGAGATGGATCTTGGGTTGTTCATAAGCTGGGATCTCAACAAAGATGGATTTTGGGTTGTCCATATGCTGGGATCTCAACAAAGATGGATTTTGGGATTTCCATATGCTGGGATCTCAAGAAGATCCATCCAAAATCCATCATTTTGAAGTGTCTATATGCTGAGATGGATCTTGGGTTGTTCATAAGCTGGGATCTCAACAAAGATGGATTTTGGGGTGTCCATATGCTGGGATCTCAAGAAGATCCATCCAAAATCCATCATTTTGAAGTGTCTATATGCTGGGATGGATTTTGGGGTGTTCATAATCTGGGATCTCAACAAGGATGGATTTTGGGTTTTTCATATGCTGAGATCTCAAGCAGGATAGGTTTTGGGGTGTCCATATGCTGGAATCTCAAGAAGATCCATCCAAAATCCCTCATTTTGGCATGTCCATGCGCTGGGATCTCAAGAAGATCCATCCAAAATCCCCCATTTTGGGGTGTCCATGTGCTGGGATCTCAAGAAGATCCATCCAAAATCCCTCATTTTGGCATGTCCACGTGCTGGGATCTCAAGAAGATCCATCCAAAATCCCTCATTTTGGGGTGTCCATGTGCTGGGATCTCAAGAAGATCCATCCAAAATCCCTCATTTTGGGTAGTCCATGTGCTGGGATCTCAAGAAGAACCATCCAAAATCCCTCATTTTGGGGTGTCTATGTGCTGGGATCTCAAGAAGATCCATCCAAAATCCCTCATTTTGGGGTGTCCATGTGCTGGGATCTCTGGGTTTCCCTGAGGACTCGCGTGTGGAACTCACCCCTAACTCCCACCCAGTGAAATATTTCCATGGCTGCAGCTGCAGTGGACATGACCATGACCTGAATTCCTCCCTGTGAGGAGCTGCAGAGCCTTTTCTGTGGTGGCAGCAGCAAATCCCCCTCTCACATCCAGCTGCAGCGGGAGCCTGCTCTTCTCTGAGCTTAGAAACGCTGTGGAGCTGAGTGTGGACACCAGGAAAGGGCAGAGAACGGAGCTGGCCGCACGTTTTTTGGTGCAGAAGCCCTGATGGAAGCAGGGCTGGGGCATGGCATGCTGCTTGAGGTTATTTTTTGCTGCTCTGGGCTTTGGGAGTGTGGTTTTTTGGGGCAGGAATGCCTGGATTTTCCTGCAGACATTTCAGATTCGTTCGGCTCGGCTGGAGTGGGGTCAGCTGAGGCTTTTGGCACCAGAGCCTGAGAACAATTTAGGGTGACCCCAAAGCAGCTCCTGCTGCTCATCCACTGATTTTTACAGGATTTCATCCCTTAGGAAAAACGTCCCTGTTTGCCACAGGTGAGCTGGGAATTGCTGACTCCACCTGAGCTGCTTTATCTCAGAGATAAAAGGGACAGAGCTCTTCCCAAACCATTCCCCTGATACCTTCTGGAAAGCATTTCCAGGTGGATTGGGAGTTTCTTTCCTGCTTTTTACATACTCATGATAGGGAAAAAAAAAAGCAAAAAAACCCACCAAACCTTAATTTTCCTGAGTGCATGATAGATCTGATCTAAAGTGATGACAAAATATTTAGATTGAAGAGGTTGGAGTAACAATATCCCAGAATTTTTCCCACACAGTGATTTCCTACGTTCACAGAGGAAATCACAGCGTGCAGTCTGCTGGAAAAAAAATCACTTAAAAACCACCTTGCAACTTGATTGCTAACTTCTTGTTAAGCTCTTTAGGGCTAGGAACAGCTTTTTTCCTCAAGCTCCAGCACCATCGAGGCTGGACAAAGTCCAGGATTTGCTTTTTCCCTGGCTCTGAGCACAGGGAGAAGGGGAAGGTGATGCTGGGGAAGGTGATGCTGTGCTGGGGCTGATGCTGGCAGTAAGGGCTGGCCTGTGGGATTTGATTGCACATTATTTGGGATTTAATTACACATTATTTGGCTTTTCCATGATGCTCTTCACCGCTGGGAGAAGTCATCCAGAGGCAGTGCAAACCCTCCAGCTCTGGGATGTCTCCATGCAGCAGCAGCAGCAAGAGCTGAAATATTTAAGAACAGCTCAAGCACCGGGCATTTCCCTGTGGACAAAATGCCTTTGTGGATGTGTCTAATCCCTTTTTTTTCCTTCCTCTTGCTCAGGGAATGCTGGTGGAAGGCCCCCCTGGTCCTGAAGGCCCAGCAGTAAGTGGCATTTTCCCCCTGCTCCCTGGGCTCTGTTGCTCCCATCTGCCACACACGTGCACAGAGGGAGCTTCGGGGTGGATTTTGTGGTGCAAAAATAAACAGAGAGCTTTTCCTGCTGCCCGTAGAAATCTGCTACAAATAATAACACATTTTCTCTCGTGCCTTAGGGTTTTTTTTCCCCCCTTTTCTCTGCCAGGGCCTTCCAGGACCTCCAGGACCAACTGGACCCGTGGGCTTGATGGGTGACCCAGGGGAGAGGGTGAGTGCCCATGGCTTTCTCCTCTTTGCTGGAGTTTGGGTGGGTTGGTGGGGCTGGGGGGTATCCCTGGAGCCTTCAAATCCTGTTAAAATCCTATTGAAATCCTGTTGAAATCCTGTTAAATTCCTGTTAAAATCCTGTGAGAGCAGCTCCCAGAGGGGTTCATGGTGGGACACAGGGCAGGGCAGGTTCCTGAGGTGCTGGGACATTCCCATGGCGCTGTCCCCAGCCTGGGCACTGCCTTTGTTTTAGGTCAGGTTCTTTGTTGCCTCCTTGGTCCCTGTGGCTGCTGCACTCCCCCTTTTCCCCTGCTTTGCACTGCTCCTGATGGAGCAGAAATCCCATTCCTGCTGCCTGGGACATGATTGAGGACGAGGGGCCCTGCCTGAGCTCCATCCATCTCTGCCTGCCAGCTCAGAAAGTCGATCCAGGCTCAGCCCTGGGGGCTCCTGGGCCTGGCTTAACCCTTGTGGCACTGCACTGCTGCCCACACAGCCAGCCCTGCAGCCTGGGTTCACAGAGAGAGGCTGAGCTGGGCGTGGTTTGCATCTCTCTGTGGTCCAGGGCGAGCTCCAAAAATCCTTTTTTGGCTTCTGGGTATTTTCAGAGTGCTGTTTTTCCCTGTGGCCTCATCCCTTGCTTGGTTTGCATCTCTCAGTGGTCCCCTAAAATTCCTTATTTGGCTTCTGAATAATTCCAGGGTGCTGTTTTTCCCTGTGGCCTCATCCCTGTCTTGGTTTATATCTCTCAGTGGTCCAGGGCGAGCCCTAAAAATCCTCATATGGATTCTGAGTATTTCCAGGTGCTTTTTTTCCCTGTGGCCTCATCCCTTTCTTGGTTTGCATCTCACAGTGGTCCCCTAAAAATCCTTATTTGGCTTCTGAGTATTTCCAGGGTGCTGTTTTTCCCTGTGGCCTCATCCATTTCTTGGTTTGAATCTTTCAGTTGTCCCCTAAAAATCCTCATATGGATCCTGAGTATTTCCATGGTGCTGGTTTTCCCTGCCTGTCTTGGTTTGCATCTCTCAGTGGTCCAGGGCGAGCCCCCAAAATCCTTTTCTGGCTTCTGAATAATTCCAGGGTGCTGTTTTTCCCCTGTGGCCCCATCCCTGTGATGCTCAGCTCTCCCTTCCCCTGCTGCACTCCTGGCAGGCTGGATGCTGGCCCTGGGGACAGGGGACACTCCTGCTGTCATCTGGCCAGGCAGATGCAGATATTTGCTGGCCAAGCTCCCTTGGAACAGCCCTGCAGAGCCAAGCAGCAGCAGCAGCCACTCTGAGAGGAATAATTTGCATTCTAGGACAGGCTGCAGCAGTGTCCAGAGCAGAGGGTAAACCCAGCACAGGGTGCAGAGAGAAGTGATGAACTCACACAGGAGCTGCAAATGTATTAAAACCCTCCTTTTCAATTAGAGCAGCTCCTCTTTTAATTTGTTTATTATTAACCCTGAGAGTGTAGCTCATGAATTTACATGACCCTTCCCTGGGTACAGTGAGGAACTTTGCCTGCATCTGATAAAGAGATTTTTTTATCTGCTCTCAGGCAGGTGCAATGAATTAACAGCCCAACAATAGTCAGCTCTGTTAATATTGGCCAACACTCATTTAGCTCTGGTTTATTCATTGTAAAAAAAGAAAAAAAAAAGACAAAAAAAAAAAAAAGAAAGAGCTTTATTTATTTAAAGCTTCTTCCACGATCAGGAGGCACAGAGGAGTTTGTGTCAGCAGCAGAGCTGAGGAGCAGCCTGGGTGTGGGAGGTTCCAGAGGGCTCAGGATGCTTTGGGATGACTTAGGCAGCAGTGGGAAGGAGGAAATATGGCACTGAGGAGAGCAGAGAGCTGTTCCATGGGGGCTCCAGACTGGCAGGAAGGAAGTGGGAAAATGTGTTGTTTGGAAGGGGGTGAGCTGCAGCATTGGAGCAAACTGCAGCTCCCTCACCCACCCTGCTGCTTGCTTGGAAATTCGGGGGCCTGGGTGCTCTGGGGAAGGCTCATCACAAAATATCTTCACCTTCCCAAGCCATCAGCCATTGAATCCCAAGGGAATCACTGCCCTGAGCACAGTTCTGCCCCTCAGAAGTGCAACAGGATCCCTAAAAAGCATCCCTAAAAATCCTCATTTGGCTCCTCAGGGCTTCCAGGTGCTGCTTTTCCCAAGGGCTCCCTTAACTCAGAGACCCCCAAAACTGCAAGAAGCATCTCCAATTATGTAATTTCCTGTCCAGGGTTGAAAAACAACCAGGGAGAGAGAGACCCTTGGTGAATGCTGAGGCTCCTGAGGGCTTCCAGGGTGCTGCTTTTTCCAGCTGCTCCCTTAAATCAGAGACCCCCAAAACTGCAGGAAACATCTCCTATTATGTAATTTTCTGACCAGGGCTGAAAAACAAGCAGGGAGAGACCCTTGGTGAATGCTGAGGCTCAGCACCGTGGTCCCACACAGACACCCCATGTTTCAGTTTAACCCTTCCATGGCAATGCTACCCCAGGGTTTGCATTTCAAACGCAATTTGAAGTCACCATCCCTGCCTGGCTGCTGTATTTCAGCAAATCCCCATTTCCACAAGGAGAGGCACACAGATTTACACCCAGCCCCTGGCAGGCTGCATTTCTCCCAGGCATTCATGAATTTAAATTTCCAAAGTGCTTTATGGGTTTGATTTTCCTGTGTTTCCTTGCTCACCCCCCCTCTGCTGGTCCATTCCACCAGGAAAAGACCTCCCACACCCAGGCTGAAACAAAAAGAGGCATTTATGGGTAAAAGCACTGCATCAACACTTGTCAGGAGAGATAAACAAGCTCAGCCCTGCTCCATCATAGGCAGGGCTGGAGTTATAGGAGGAGAGGGAGAGAAAAATAAGGTTTATCATGTAAAACAAGCCTGGCCTGAATGATTTGTGCCATTTCTGCTCCAACAGATGGGTCTGGGGTGGGATTTCAGTGGGGTTGAGGGCTCTGGCGTGGGCCAGGCTCAGCAAACTGTGGCTGTCCAGCCTGCCTGGATGTTCTGGATGTTCTGGAGAGTTCTGCAGCCCCCCCTGGGCACTGCTGGGATTTTTCCTGGTGTTTCCCTGCCGCTCCAGCCCTGGGAGCAGCGTTGTTAACCCAGGCTGGTCATGGTGCCTCGTCCTCGTGGAAGAAGAGGGAGCAGAGAGATGTGGAGTGGGGAGATCTTTCTGGAAGGGCGTGGGGCAAGGCTAAAGCACCAAATCCTTTGGTTCGGTGCTCTGCTGGGTTGTTTTATTCTAATATTCTGATTTTTAGGCACTTTGTTGCCTGTTTGTCTTTCCCACCTTTACCCCACCTCCTTTGTGGGGTGGCCTTAGGACTTCCTGGCTTTTTGGTGTCCCCCTGCCTGAGATTTTTGGAAGGATTTTGAATTTACATTTTTTTTGGGGGGTCTGAACAGGCTGCAGGCAGGTTGAGGAGAGCAAGAACGACAAAAATGGTCATTGCTTGCCCTTCCAAGAGAGCCAGTTCTCTATAAATTGATTTATTGTTGGTGTTTCCTAACTAAAGGAGTGGCCAAGTTCTTAATCCCAACCTGCTGGCCACAAAAGGAGCACTGGGGCTTTTTTGGCTTTGCTGGGATGTGGTGAAATCCCTGTTGCCTTAAAGTGCTGTGAAAATTGCAATTAGCCACACACATTGATGTCACCCTCATTTGCATATGGGATCAGTGGAACAAGGAGGAAATCTGGGTTAACCTCAACTTTTTGCCAGGGAAAATTGGCCATATTTGATTTTTTTTTTTGTGGCTTCATCAATAGATCTTTGGCTGCCCACTCGTTGCTTTAGTGCCAGGTAAAGATCCCCCTCTCTGTGGAGATCCATGGATTTGGGCTGATCTGCAGCCCCTGACAGAATCACTCCATTCCAATGGAAGGAGCCTCAAAGGACTAAAATAATTTATAAAAAAAAAAAAAAAGAAGGGAGAAAAATAAAATGACCCAGCTGATTGAACATCTGCAGGAATGAATTTATCTCCTTCCATTTCTCTCTCACTGAGTTAGGAAGTTTCATCTATTTTTGGGGTTTTTTTAATGGATTTTAACAGATCCAACTCTAAACATTGATTCTGTTGTCTTGGAGCATTGCAGGGACTTGGATTCCTCCAAAGCTGCACGAGGCAGGCCCTGGAAACAGCAGGGGCAGGATGGAACAGGAGGGAATTTGGAAATTGAAGAAAAAATTGGGATTCCCACCAACTCAATCCCTGTCATGACAATATCCTGACATAACCACAGCTGTTAATGTATGGACAGAACCAAAATGATGTTTTACAAGTTTATTTTAATTTCTTCCTCTTTCAGGGCCCACCTGGACGCCCAGGTCTCCCAGGAGCTGATGGATTGCCAGGACCACCAGGGACAATGCTTATGCTGCCTGTGAGTGCAAACAGAACTACAAAGGGATTGAAATGAGTCAGATTTCTTGCTTTTGCTGCTGGTTAATGCCCCTTCTTGCAGAAATCTCCCATCTCCTTTACCCTAAGGATATGTTTTCTTTGAGGGAAAAGATGGATATGGGTGGTTCCTGTTGTAAATTGACTTTTTGCTGCAAAGCACTGGAGCTCCTTCATTAGTCAAAAGCACAGACAGGTTAAAATTTCCAGAAGTGATGGATAATGATAAAAATCATGGAATATCCCAAGGTGGAAGGGACCCACCAGGATTATTGAGTCCAACTCCTGGCTCTGCACAGGACAAGCCCAGGGGTTACTGGGGTGGACTGGGATGGGTTGGGATGGGCTGGGATTGGGCTGAGATGGATTGGGATGGGTTGGGATTGGGCTGGGATTGGGTTGGGATGGGTTGAGATGGGTTGGGATGGACTGGGAGGGCTGGGGTGGATTGGGATTGGGTTGGGATGGGTTGGGATGGGCTGCGATGGGTTGGGATGGGCTGCGATGGGTTGGGATGGGCTGCGATGGGTTGGGATGGGCTGCGATGGGTTGGGATGGGTTGGGATTGGGTTGGGAGGGCTGGGATGGGTTGGGATGGGTTGGGATGGGCTGGGAGGGCTGGGATGAGTTGGGATGGATTGGGATGGACTGGGATGGGTTGGGATGGGCTGGGATGGGTTGGGATGGGCTGGGATGGGCTGGGATGGGTTGGGATGGATTGGGATGGGCTGGGAGGGTTGGGATGCGCTGTGATGGGTTGGGATGGGTTGGGATGGGCTGGGATGGGCTGGGATTGGCTGGGATGGGTTGGGATGGGCTGGGATTGGGCTGCGATGGGTTGGGAGGGCTGGGATGGGCTGGGATGGGCTGGGATGGGCTGGGATGGGTTGGGATGGGCTGGGATGGGTTGGGATGGATTGGGATGGGCTGCGATGGGTTGGGATTGGCTGGGATGGGTTGGGATGGGCTGGGATTGGGCTGCGATGGGTTGGGAGGGCTGGGATGGGCTCAGGGCACTCATGCTGAATGGAGCTGCTCAGGCTCAGGCTGGGCAGGCTGCAGGGGCAGAGCTGTGACCTTGCTGTGTCCCCACCTCGTTCCCACCAGTTCCGCTTCAGCGGCGGAGGCGACGCCGGCTCCAAGGGACCCATGGTGTCAGCGCAGGAGGCCCAGGCCCAGGCCATCCTGCAGCAGGCCAGGGTGAGTGCTGGGGCCGGCTGGGAGCGCCTGCCAGGGCTCCCTGCAGCAGCAGAATCAATCCTCTCACGCCGAGGGTCAGGGAGGGGACATCGCACCGTGATCAATACGATCCAGTGAAGCCAAATTTATTATCCCCAAAAGAGCTGTGTTTATAATAACTTCCTACTGTCCACACGTCTCTGGCTAATACATGATTGGTTAATCCCAGCTGTTCACTCATCTGAAATAGAATCCTGATTGGATCTTTCAGTTTTTCACGCGTTTTGCTGTGGTTGTCTGGCCCACCCATTGGTTCTCTTTTTTCTCACTTTCTCAAGCTTGCTGACAAACCTGCTGAGTCTTGATGATTCTTCTTCTTGCATCTTTCTCAGGGATATACCGACCCCATTTCTGAACATGTCCATTATTGATTGTTTCTGAACATCTCCCTTGTCCATTATTGCAAGCAGGCTGGATTGTGCATCAGCTGAATGTGGCCATGCAAAAACTCAACCTCCAAAAAATCCTCAACAGTCCCCAGTGCTGCTGGTGGAACCTCTCACCTGCCACAGGGTTGCACCTGCATGATTTGGGGTTTTATTAACAACCAGCTGATGGGAAGCTGGTTTGAATTTCTTGCAGATCTCTGGCAGACCCGCTGGCTTTGGCATATTTTTATTTTGAGGGTCCCTATAAGCAGCTGTGCTCAAAGCATTTTCTTATTTTTGTATGGTTTTCCCCCCAGTAAATCCTCATAATGAAACCTATGTCACAGATGGAAGCTGTTCCCAAAATCTCAACAGGCAGATTTGTAATTTAATATATTTATTTGGGAATACATGGTGACCACACCTGGAACATTTCTTTCCTTGGATGGCCTTATTGATTGATGTCCAAATCATCCCTGGCTCCCTGGTGAAACAAGACTGGCACATTCCCAGCACAGCTCCCGCTCCCTGCCTGGATGGGCACCTCAGTGGGAAAGGCTCTGCACTCATCTCTCCAAAATCAAACTGCATTTTTAGCCAGTGGAGCTCTGAAATTGTTCTCCCCTGGTGCTCGTGGGAGCTTTCCTGAGTGCCGATGTTAAAAACCAGAGACAGAGATTGGGAACCCCACAGTTCCCAAACTGCTCTGTTTGCCCCAAGGGGACCCAGTTCTGCTGCAAACACACCCTTGCCATGAAGGAGAGCATTTTTTAGGGTGGCAGTTCCCAAAGGGGCACAGCTTTGGGGCTGTTTTATTTGGGGACAGCTCCAGAGCTCACATCTGGCAGCAGCTGGGATGTGTGGCTGGAGCTGCTTTGTCACTCTGTCTGCAGATTTTAACACAGATTTTTTGGGGGGCTTAAAGAAGCTAAAAACTCAATTTATTTCACCTTTATATGGGATAAACTCCATTAGGCTCTACCCCCATGCGTGGCACCTGCCCCTGGTGGGTTTTTAAGCAAGTGTTTGCCTTAACTGGGAGTTTTCTGCTTTCCATCCTTTTCCAAAGGAGTTGGATTGGATTTTTTACAGATTCAGGCAGAGTCCTGATCCTCCCAGCCACTGCATTTTCCTGTCCATTAACCTTGTGCTGCCAATAATATCCTGGATTATGTTCCTGGTGTTACCTTGTCAGTCTTAATTTCCAGCCTGCCCAGCGTTTTTCCATCAGCATTTTATTTTCCTGGGAAATAGAGGGTTTGACCTGAGAAACCTTTCATGAGAAGCACCTGCTTTCTCCAGCTCTCTGCTTTTGTTCTTTTATTTTTTTCTTTTCCCTGCTGAAAATTGTGATTTACCAAAAAATAAATAGCCTCCCTTCCCTCATTCAAATTTCCTTTTTATTTAAATTTTCATGTTTAGGGAAAAAAATTTAAAACCCAAATAAATCCTGGGTAACTTTTGGGCTATGGATGAAAAGTTGAATATTTCTAGAGAGGACAAAAATCAATTTTTTTGTGAACTTCAACATTTTGGCTGAAAACCATGATGCGGGAAGGGAAATAAATGTCATTTTTGTAAGGAACTACAGGATATGACAGGATTGGAAAACAGGGTCCTGCAGCAAGCATAACCTTTTCCTATTTTGGGTTTTTTTTTTTTTTCTCGTTATCACTGCTGTTAATTGCATTATTAGGTTGATTTATCCCTTTAAAATTTGGCTTTCATTAGGCACTGAATGTTGTTGCAGCCAGCAGTGGTTCACAGCATCTCCCTTTTAATGGGGTGTTGTAAAAAGATGCCACAGAACCCAGCATTTGTGCAATATTTCTGCCTTTCCAAGCTCAGTCACTGGGTAGATTTTAATTACTGGAGTACACAGATAATTACAACTCTCTGGAAGTGTTGGATTGTCACGAGGGAACAAATTGTCTGAGGGATGTTTTAAAGCATGGCCCAGCTCCATTTCCCACCATGGAAATTACTGGGTTGATGCATGGTTAACACGACTCCTTAATTATGGAGCTAAAAGCCCCCTGTGTTCAGCTTGAATTGGAGCTCAGTTTGGAGGATGTTAACCAAAGGAAAAAAGGGAAAAATTCCTCTAAAATTGAACCACCAGGACAATAAAGAAAAAAATTTCTCTTGAACTGAAGTGGGGTCATAAATATTTATGTCCTCTCAGCAGATTCATGGACAGTCCAGGGGCTTTCATAGAATCACAGAATGGTTTGGGATGGGAGGGAGCTTAAAGCTCATCTCATTCCAAGCACTTCCATGGGCAGGGACACTTCCCATGACCCCAGGTGGCTCCAAGTGTCCCTGCCTGGCCCTGGGCACTTCCAGGGATGGGGCACAGCAGTATGGGCAAGGAGAAGCTGTTTGCCCATTGTGGGTCTGGAATTCCCTGGGGATGTGGGCATTGCTCCAGGGGTCTGTGGGTGTGGAGGGAGCTGTGGCTGGTGGCTCAGCGGTGGCTTTGTCACGAGGTGAGCCCTGTTTGTCCTTGTGTTTGCAGCTGGCACTGAGGGGACCAGCGGGACCCATGGGGCTGACGGGGCGGCCGGGCCCGATGGTGAGTGAGGGAACTGGGGAGAGGGAAATGGGGAGAGGGAATTGGGGGGGATGGAAATGGGGAGGGATGGAAATGGGGAGTGATGGAAATGGGGAGAGGGAATTGGGGGGGATGGAAATGGGGAGTGATGGAAATGGGGAGTGATTGAAATGGGGAGATGGAATTGGGGAGTGATGGAAATGGGGAGAGGGAAATGGGGGGGGTGGAAAATGGGGAGTGATGGAAATGGGGAGAGGGAAATGGGAGATGGAAATGGGGAGAGGGAAATGGGAGATGGAAATGGTGGGATGGAACTGGGGAATGATGGAAATGGGGAGATGGAATTGGGGAGTGATGGAAATGGGGGGGATGGAAATGGGAGATGGAATTGGGGAGTGATGGAAATGGGGGGGATGGAAATGGGAGATGGAATTGGGGAGTGATGGAAATGGGGGGGTGGAAATGGGGAATGATGGAGTTGAGGGGATGGAAATGGTGGGATGGAAATAGTGAGTAATGGAACTGGGGGATGGAACTGGGACATGGAATTGGAGGGGTGGAAATGGGGAATGATGGAATTGGGGGGATGGAACTGAGGTATGGAAATGGTTGGATGGAACTGGGAAGTGATGGAACTAGGGGATGGAATTGGGGGGATGGAATTGGGGGATGGAACTGGTGAGTGATGGAACTGGGGGATGAAAATGGGGAGTGATGGAATAGCGTAGATGGAGCGGGTAAGGATGGAATTGTTGAGGATGGAGATGGTGAGGATGGAGCCAACCCAGCTGATCCAGCTCCCTATGGGCTCTGGATCCATGAATGGCTTTTCCTTAATGTGGAATCTTCTTCTCTGGCTCTCTTGGAGCAAAAATATAATAAATCCTCTTCTCTGTCCAAAGGGACCCCCGGGCAGTGGAGGACTGAAGGGAGAAGCTGGAGAAATGGGACCTCAGGTGAGTGTGGAACTGGGGGGAGCTGGAGAAACGAGGGTGGAGCAGCCAGTCCTGCCTGAGAGGCTGTTGGGGAGCAGGGATTCAGTCAGGCTGTGGGAACACGTGTTTGGCGTGGAAATGTCCCTCCAAGTGTCTGGATGCAGGCTCTGGACGTGGTTTGAAGCCAGCAGTGTAAAACTCTGCAGCTCCCTTCCTGGAAGAACACCCCCAGAGGAGTCCTGTACATAAAAGATAATTTGAAGTGTGGAGAATTCACTAATGCTCAGCATATTGTTCTTCCAAGCCTTAAATCCTGCACTGAGGGGAAGTTCCCATTTTCTGATGGCAAGGGAGGTGATTTATGTGATGCATCTCCACCACCTGCTAGCAAAACCTTCCCCATGGATAAACACCTGCAATTCCTGCCTGGAGATGCTCAGCCCCTTCCCTGTGTGTTTGGAACCTCCAGGGATTCATTTTGGAGCCCTGGTGGCCCTGGAGAGCCCCAGCAGTGCCTGAAGTGGGCACAGATCTCTGGGTCTTGAGGTGACATTTCTTCCTTGAGGTGACATTTCTTCCTCTCTCCTCGATTCCTTGCAGGGCCCACGAGGCATCCAGGGTCCTCCCGGTCCTGCAGGGAAGCCAGGCCGCAGGGTGAGTGTCCTGGCAGCTGTGCTGAGCAGGCAGGAGCTGCAGTTGCTGCTGGAAACTGCTCCTGCTGCCAAACAATTCCTCCCATTCCTCTGCACCGAGGGCGTTGCGCAAGAGCCGGCGGCCGCGCTGAGCTCGGCCGTCCTGGGGGACACAAACCAGCATGGGAGGGAAGATCTGGGAGGGTGCAAATCAGGGTGGGAGTTAAATCTGGGAGGGCACAAGGATGGGAGTTAAAATATGAGAGAGCACCAGGATAGGAGTTAAAATTTTGGAGGAGAGAGGGATGAGAGTTGAAATTTGGGAGGACGTGAATTTGGGAGCCGAAATCTGGGAGGAGAGTTAAAATTTGGGAGGACAGAAACAAGGATGGGAGTTAAAATTTGGAAGGACAAAAACAAGGATGACAATTAAAATTTGGGAGGACACAAATGAGAATGGGAGTTAAAATTTGGGACACGAATGAGAATGGGAGTTAAAATTTGGGACACAAATGAAAATGGGAGTTGAAAACTGGGAGGACACACAGGAGGAGGAGAGTTAAAATCTGGGAGGACAGAAACCAGGATGGGAGTGAAAATTTGGGAGGGTGCAAATATCAGGGTGGGAGTTAAATCTGTGAGGGCACCAGGATAGGAGTTAAAATCTCAGAGGAGAGAAGGCTGTGAGTTGAAATTTGGGAGGACACAAATGAGGAGGAGAGTTAAAGTTTGGGAGGACAGAAATCAGGATGAGAGTTAAAATCTCACAAGGATGGGAGTAAAAATTCTGGACACAAATGAGGAGGAGAGTTAAAGTTTGGGAGGACAGAAACAAGGATGGAAGTTAAAATCTGGGAGGACAGAAACAAGGATGGAAGTTAAAATCTGGGAGGACACAAATGAAAACGGGAGTTAAAATTTGGAACATGAATGAAAATGGGAGTTAAAATCTGGGAGGACACACATGAGGAGGAGAGTTAAAATTTGGGAGGATGAAAATGAGGATGGGAGTTGAAAACTGAGAGGACAGAAATGAGGAGGAGAGTTAAAATCTGGGAGGACAGAAACCAGGATGGGAGGGAAAATCTGGGAGGATACAAAGAAGAATGGGAGTTAAAATCTGAGCAGTGTGGGGGAATTCAAAGCTGCTCATCCCACTCTTCTATCCCAGGGTTCTTTGGCTCCCTGGTATTGCTTTGAACTGGCTTGGAGTCCCCACTCCTGGCAGTTTGTGAGGAGAATCCAGTCCCAAGAATGGATCAGGTGTAAACCCTGCTCTGTTTCCTAATTCTGATTTTTATTTCTCACCACCCTCTGGCTCACCATGACTCAACTTGCCAGAGGAAGGAACGAGCAAGTCTTGTGTGTGACCCACCTCTGCCTTCCTGGAAACAGAAACTCCCATTTTAATTTGCAGCCAGCATCATTAGTATCTCTCCAAATGTGCTGGGAGATTTTATTTTTTCACATAAAACCAACGACCACGGCCCATGTACGGACGTGGCTCCGCTGCCGTTCATCTCCCACCTCTCATTAACCCCAGGATGTTGCTTTAAACACAGAGCAGGGATTTTTCCCTCGCCAAGAGGAGCTGCCTGACTTAAATAAACCCTCTCTCTGGCCTAACTAAACCCTGTCTCAGAGCCCCATTTGTGGTTCTGTGTTACCCTCTGGATCTGACTTTGGTGTCTCTGTTGCAGGGACGAGCTGGCAGTGACGGCGCCCGGGGCATGCCAGGCCAGACAGGACCAAAGGTAGTGCCAGCTTTTTATGGATTTGGGGAATCTGCACCTTCTCTCCAGCAGGAATGAGCTGAGGGACGCGTGGAGAAGGAGCCCAGCTTGCTTGGATGAGGTTGTGAGCTGGTCCAGAGGCTCCTGTGAAGACAAGAAGCCTTCATGGGACATGGAGGTTAAGGGAGGGAAGTTAAACTCACTCCTGGAAGGCAGAATAGCAATTTTTCAATTTTTCCTTTTCTTTTTTTTTTTTTTTTTAATGCCACTTTTTTAACCTGCTGAATGAATTTTTTTTTAATGCCACTTTTTTAACCTGCTGAATGAATTTTTTTTTTAATGCCACTTTTTTAACCTGCTGAATGAAATATGCTGCAGTTGTAGAACAAATGCTTCAGAATCCCAATTACAAAAAAACAAACAGAACAAGTGGCTGGGGAGTCTCTAGAGTAGAACCACCAAAAACCACCTCTTAAGCAGGTGAGGAAATGGAGGCGTGGGGAGGAATTTTAATCCCCACTATAATTTTTTTTATTGGAGACAAAATCCCTTAATTCTGCTGCGATCTGCCAGAATTATCAAGCAGGAAAGAAGCTGCTCTGCTGGAAATCCACATGGAAAAGCATTTCAGCTGGGGGGAAGAGGGAAGAGTTTAGCTTCAAATGGCAATGTGGTAGTTTTTACATGAGATGATAACAAATTTTACCCTAATTTTGTCCTAATTTTCATTACTCTCTCATTAGTTACTGTTAATAAATTTTTCTTTATACCCTTTTGAAGTTTTAAACCTACTTTACCTTTTTCCTAATCCTACCTCACAACAAAAAAGAAATACACTAATAATTAACCAACACTAAAACCCACCACACTCATTAATACACCATCCAAAAAAAAATCTCCAAATTAACAGAATCTCAAATTAACAAACCAAAACCACTACAGACTTGGAAGTGTTTTTTGGGTTTTTTCCCTTGTTTTAATCCATAACGTTGAGATAATCCCTGGTCTGATGGAAGCTGAAGGCTGAATGCCTGAGGGAGAAAATCCTTCCCTCCTTGCCACAGAAAGGAAATAAACGGGAAGGGTACTCAAATACAGCTGGAAATGTGTTTGAAATGGTCTTAAACTGGTTTAAAATGTGCTTTAAACTGGTTTTGCTTTCAGGGTGACCGAGGCTTTGATGGCTTGGCTGGTTTGCCTGGTGAGAAGGGAAACAGGGTGAGTGCTCTTCCCCTTCTGGGAGGAGGAGGAGGAGGCTGGGAGGGACTGGGACGAGGCACAGGAGAGGATGAGTGTCCCTAGGAGCCCGTGGGATGTCCCAGTGCCCTCACATCCCTCTGCAGGATCCTCCTGGGGCTGCTCCAGCTTGGGATGGGGTGGAAAAAATCACCTTAGTGCAATGCAGCCTGAAAAACCAAAGCAAGAGGCAAAAGCTGCTGTTGGATGGGGTGGGGATGGCTTGAAATTACAATTTATAATTAAAAACGGGGGGAAATGGGGGAAAGTGGTTGTTTTGGCAGGCTGGGTGTCCCTCCCCTCCCTGGAGCAGAGAGAGAGGCAGCTCTGAGGGCACAGGGACCTCCAGCACAGACAGAAAAACCAAATCCGTGCCTTGGTTCGTCCCCATTCCCTGGTGGCTCCCAGAGCCAGAGTGTTTGCACCATCTCTGAAGCATTTTCTGCCTTTTTTTGTGTTTTTGCAGGGTGAGCCAGGCCCCCACGGCCCCCCAGGAGCTCCTGGAGAGGATGGGGAGAGGGTAAGTGTGCCTGGGCATTGGGAATTCCCAAGGAAAACCTGGGAACAAGGAGCAGGTGCAGCATCAGGCAGGAGCTCCCAGTCCCTGAGCCTTCCCTGCGAGGGAAGAGGGGCAGGGAGGTGGGAATTGAAGTGGAAAGGAGAATTTGGATTTAAAGATGTGGTCGGGAAAGCCAGGTTTTGTTAAAGGGAAGAAGAAAATAGCCCAGAGAGTAAATTTATTGCTCACAGTGAGCAGATGATGGCTTCTGAATTTCTGAAATCCAGAGGAAACGATGGCTTCTGAATTTCTGAAATCCAGAGGAAATGATGGCTTCTGAAAGGATGGCTTCTGAATTTCTGAAATCCAGAGGAAATGATGGCTTCTGAATTTCTGAAATCCAGAGGAAATGATGGCTTCTGAATTTCTGAAATCCAGAGGAAATGATGGCTTCTGAAATGATGGCTTCTGAATTTCTGAAATCCAGAGGAAAAGATGGCTTCTGAATTTCTGAAATCCAGAGGAAACGATGGCTTCTGAATTTCTGAAATCCAGAGGATTGCAGCGAGATTTGGGGAGCAGAAATTTCAGGCAGAGGCAGGAATCCAAGATTGAATTGTTCCCTTCAGCCACTAACAGAGGGTGTTTAGCAAAGCCCAGATTAAGTGATCCCAGCTCTGGTTTAAAGGGAGAGCTTAGAAATGCTGGTGTGTGGTTCAGCCTGAGGAGCCAGCGTGGATTTCCCAGCTCTCTTCCCCTCCCATGGTGTTTTCCTCCCACTTTGGGCTCTGGGTGTCCCTGCAGAGCTCAGACAATCACTCTCCACAGCCTGGGGAGGCCGAATTAACTGTGGCTGTACAGGGCTCTGAGGCTGGGCAGAGCAAAGCTGGAAGGGGAAGGAGGAAATTCAGAATCCCAAAGGGAAGAAGAAAATCCCAGGAGGGAGCAGAGCAGGGAGAGGAGCACAGCAGGGAGGTTTCCAAGGGGGTTGGTGTCCTAAAGGGGAGCCTCAGGTCTGGGGTGAAAAATAACCAAGGGGAAGCAGCATTTGATCATTTTGGGGTTTTACCCCAGCAGATGTGGGAGAGGAGGGAGGAAACTCTCCTGCCATGTTTTCCTTATTCCCTGTGAGGCTCCCATCCCACCAATTTCAGCAGTGCCAGGCTGGATCTGGTGAGAAAGGCAGGAATGGAAGGAAAACACCAGGAGAGCAGAAACCCTCATGCTGGAGGGCCCAAAGCCTTTAAAAATGAACATTTATGGAAACCTCTGTCACCTTTGCTGAGCTGTGTGGGTTGTCCATGGCAAAATCTCAGTCTGGAGGGATTTTTGGGATGCTCCATTGGTGTTCTCAGGCCATCCTTCATGAATTCCCAGCTGGAATGACTTGGCTGCAAGGGGTTGGCTCACAGGGTGACCCTTTTGGTGCTTCTGGTTTATCTGAGGGGCTCTGATTTGCCCAAACCCCATCCCCACCCTGCCTTGCCATTCAGTTTGGTCTCAAATCTTGTGGGTTTTGGCTCACCTGCCCTGAGCTGTGTCTACAACCCCTTGTGCGGTGGCAAAATCCACTTTTCTAAACATCAGCAGGAATTCTGAAGGATCCTCAGGCCTTTCTAGTCCCTGGTAAACTCAATTTTAGTCCTCAGGCTTCCAAGGCCTGGAAACCCTGTCAGTCCTGCAAAAAAACTGCTCTTCTGTGTAAATATTATTACAAAAGGACAAAGCCCCTGTGAGGTTAAATTAAATGTGGATTTTTTTCTGTCTCTTGCTGCTTCTCTCTGTGTCTCTGCTGCTGCCCAGGGAGATGATGGAGAAGTTGGACCCAGAGGTCTCCCTGGAGAACCTGTGAGTATCCCCCTCCCCATTCTGTGGAATTGGGGTGGATTTGGGGTGGAAAAGGCATTTTTAGGGCTCTCATGGGGCAGCTTTGCCCTGAGATCCTGCAGGGATTGAACTCAGCTTGAAGATCCACATGAACAATTTGAGAGTGGCCGTGCTGGAACAACTCTGCTTTGTTAATTTTCATTAATAATTTTCACTTATTTTCACTCCTGCAAAGGTGGGAGTTCTTTTGTTTGTTTGTTAGATTGGGTTTGTTTTTTTTTTAATTAAAAAAAATCTCATTGATTGCTCAGAGAAAATCATAACTGTAAATATAAAACTTAAATTAATGTCATATTTTTCCTGCCTGTATCCTTCTCTCTGCTTTGGGATTGAGGTAATCAGGCTGGGGTAGAAATTAGGTGCGGCAAATAAATATAAAATATGGGGTTTTTTTGTGTCCATAGCAAATTCCAGTGAGAAAAGGGTTTGATCTCAGGGCAGTGGCATCTGTCACCAGTGTCATCAGTGTCAGTGACTCCTGATAAACCTCAGGGTGAAACCCTGGCAGGAGTGAGCTCAGGGAGACTTTTCTGTCTGCCTCCAGTGGGGTCAATATCCTGCTGCCAGGGCACAGAACTCCCCAAATCTGCTCTCTGCCAGTGTTTGGGGCCCAGGTGCTGCAGAGCAGCTGCAGGAGGAGCTGGGGGTTCCTGGTCTCAGGAAGGATGGATGGAGGAGATCCCACAGGGCTTGGACAAACCCTTTGGGCCAAGCCACAGAAATGCTTTCAAGGAGAGCCCCACTGAAAAAAACAAACAGGGAGTCAATGAAATACTCTGAAAAGGCATTTTCCCCCTAATACTGAGTATTTCTCACTCTATTGGCAATGCAAACTGCTCGTGCTGCCTGCAGATTTCTGTGTGGCTGCTGGTTTCATCCTGGATGCATTTCCTCTGTTGTAAAAAGAACATTCCCTACCACTTCTCTCAAAAATCCCTGATTTTTGTTGTGCACGGTGGCCTGAGATTAATTGATGGGAATTGCTGGGCACAGTTCATGGGAGAGAGGGAAGGGTTGGCATTTACAGACTCGCTGGAACTAAATTATAGACAAGATGTCTGATTAACTTCTGGGAAAGATTAATCAACTCAGCTATCTCCTTAGCACATGTCCAAGCAATAACTTATGGCTTATTAACTTCTTAAAAGCATTTATGTGCTCAGGTAACACGGCAACAAAAGAGCAGCTTAAATGAGGGTAACACACACACGCAGGGAAATTTATTTTTATTTTAGCAGCACCAGTAAAAATCTCTGGGATGGCCAGGATAAAGGATTCAGTGGCATTGCATTTTGCTGTAAATTTACAATTTTGCTGTAAATACACGCACCCCAAAGCTGGGGGTTTGTTCTCTCTGCCCTCAGCCAGAAGAAAGTCATTCCAAATGTGGCTGAAAGCAGTGGTGGGACTTCAAAATGGGTTTCCCTTCATCCTGCTCCATTTCCTTCCAGTTGCCCTCACCAGTGGAGTTTCTGCTCTGGGTTCATGCAAGGCTTCAGCCCAGGAGGTCTCCAGTGGCTGGGATGGACCCTTGGACTCATCCAGTTTTTGCTGGAAACTGCAATTTCCTTGCAGGGTCTGAATTCCCCACGACCTCCAAGGCATTTCATTAATGTCTCCTATTCCACCCTGTAACGTTTAATTTTAATTCCTCAGCCCTCATTTTAATTCCTCAGCCCTCTCTGCATCACAAAAAGGAGGCTGTGGAATATTTGGGCAGGCAGATAAATCTGCCCATCAGTCAGGAATGATTTTCTTCCCTCCATGGCAGGGAAGGGGCTGTGATTAAAGTGAGCTCCCAGTGGGTGCTCCCAGCCCTTTCCTCCCACTCCAAATCCCCTGAAGGCTCCAGGAGGGGCTGGGCTGGGATTTCCAGCAATTTGCAGGCATTCAAACTCTCCTGCCATGTTTTCCTTATTCCCTGTGAGGCTCCCATCCCACCAATTTCAGCAGTGCCAGGCTGGATCTGGTGAGAAAGGCAGGAATGGAAGGAAAACACCAGGAGAGCAGAAACCCTCATGCTGGAGGGCCCAAAGCCTCTAAAAATGAACATTTATGGAAACCCTTGCCAGCCTTGCTGAGCTGCGTGGGTTGTCCATGGCAAAATCTCAGTCTGGAGGGATTTTTGGGATGCTCCATTGGTGTTCTCAGGTCATCCTTCATGAATTCCCAGCTGGAATGACTTGGCTGCAAAGAGTTTGGCTTACAGGACAACCCAGGAGTAGGATTAAATTAATTTTTTTTTTTAATTTTTTTCAAGGGAAATTTGTTACAACCCAAGGAATAAATGCCTGTAGTATAATTATAATTAGTAATATTTATATTATTATTTATATCTATATTTATATTATTATTTATATTTATATTATTAAGCATAATTCATATTTATAATATTTATATTTATAATATTTATCTTTATATTTAATTTTAAAATATATAATATTTGATATTTATATTTATATAATGATTTAATATTTATTTTATTATTTATATAGAAAATAATATTTTATTGTTAATATATAATAATTTTATATTTATATTTATATTTATGTTTATATTTATTTTTATTTTTATATTTATTTTTATTTTAAATATTTATATTTATATTTATATTTATATTTATATTTATATTTATATTTATATTTATATTTATTTACTGAAGGGTCTGTGCCCACAGGATTTCTCTCCCAGTCTGTAGCTCAGGGGAGCTGCTGCAGCACCTGCAAGCTCCATCCAAACCCCGCTGTGTCCATGCCCAGCATGATGCTCATCCTCAGATGGGAATCCTAACCCAGTTTTTCCCCCTACAGGGACCCCGAGGATTGCTGGGCCCCAAGGGACCCCCAGGACCCCCAGGGCCCCCGGTGAGTTCCCTGCTGCCCTCCCCAGAGCCTTCCAGACAAAACCCCAACCTCAGCCCCCCCAGCACAGCCTCCAGCTGCAGAATTTGCCACATCTGGGCAGTGGAAAGCAGTGGGGTCCCAAAAGGAGCTGGCAGCTCTGCCTTCCCCCATCCTCAGTGCTGTCACGTCCGTGCAGGGCAGATTTGCCCCACCTGAGTAAATATGAACTCCTTGCTCAGGCTGGAGGGGAGGAATGAGAGTTATTAACACAGAGCCTTTGCTATTAACTGCTGCCTCGGGGCTCTGAAGCAGCTCCTTCATCTTCCAGGCCAGATCATGTGGGATTTTATCCAGCAGATCCCATCCCTGGAAATGCTGATTCAGGGGCTGTCCCTAAATCTCTGCTGCTCTGGGATCCCAGACCTTAAAAACCCAACCCCAAAGCTCAGGGGGTCACTGCTTAATCTGAAGCAGCTCCTTCATCTTCCAGGCCAGAGCATGTAGGATTTTATCCAGCAGATCCCATCCCTGGAAATGCTGATTCAGGAGCTGTCCCTAAATCTCTGCTGCTCTGGGATCCCAGACCTTAAAAACCCAACCCCAAAGCTCAGGGGGTCACTGCTTAATCTGAAGCAGCTCCTTCATATTCCAGGCCAGAGCATGTAGGATTTTATCCAGCAGATCCCATCCCTGGAAATGCTGATTCAGGAGCTGTCCCTAAATCTCTGCTGCTCATTGGGATCCCAAATCTTAAAACCCCACCCCAAAGCTCAAGGGGTCAGTGCTGGATGGGGAACATTTTGTGGCCTTTCAGCCCTCCTGGGACGTGAAGAGCTTTGCTGTGAGCTCCTGGTGCTGCTGGGGTTCAATGAGGACTCAGGGTTTGCTCCCAAAGTGTCTCATCTCCCACGGATGGGATGCTACACCCCACAGGATGGAAGATTACCCTGGAGAAAAGGAGGCTCAGGGGAATCTCATTCTCTACAGCAGGCAGGGGGTTGTGGGGAGGGGGATCAGGCTCTTTTCCCAAGTAACAACAGACAGGATGAGGGGAAAAGTTGTGCCAGGGGAGGAAATTTCTTCCTAGTGCCCAGGGAATGTGGGGTCCCCATCCCTGGAAGGGCTCAAAGCCCACGTGGATGTGGCACCTGGGGACGTGGCTGGGTTTGATGGTTTTTGATGATTTTGGAGCTGTTTTCCAACCTGAACAATGCCATGGTTCTGAACTGGTGCTATGGGGAGGTCTCCATGCTCCCCTCTCAGTGCAGCTGCTCAGGGAGTGTCAGTGCCAGGTGAATTTTGGTTTGGCACTGTCCCCTTCACCAGCCAGGGGTTGTTCCCTCTTTTCCTGTGCCACTCCATGGCCATGGGATGCAATCCAGCCACTGAAATGACTTCAAAAATTCACCTGGATTCATGGAATTGGCTGCTTCACCAAACACCTTTAGGAAATTATTCCCTTCCCACGTGGTCCAAAGGAGTTCTTGATTTTTTTAAAATTATTTTTGTGGCAATTTCCCTGCTTTTGTGGTGTGGAATAATGTGATATTTTCTTACTGCTGTGTTTTTTAAATCCTTTCAAAGGGCGTGGCTGGCATGGATGGACAAACAGGTCCCAAAGGGAATGTGGTAAGTCCTCCCTGCAAATTTTTACAGGCAGTTCAGATTTTCTGTAGGGCAAAATGCAAAATTCTCTTAGATTACATTTGCTAATTGCTTTTTAGCCTGGTCTAGATTCCTATCAAAGCACCAGGAACGTCTTCCTGCAGCAAATGGATGTTAATTTATTGTAATTTCTGACAGAATTACACGTTATTTCTCCATGAAAGATGAAACATTTTCCTTGAGATGCGTGCTGAGCTAATGAATATCAAAATAGAGACATTTAACTGAGAGGGGGAAAAACGGGATGGGATGGGATGGGATGGGATGGGATGGGATGGGATTGGGATGGGAGGGATTCCCTGGAGAATAAATGCAGACCTGTGGTGGTGTTCACAGGACGAGAGAAGAGATGAGAATCTTGACTCCCTGTTTCAGAAGGCTGATTGATTATTTTATGATTTATATCAAAAGAAAATGATATATTAAAACTATACTAAAAGAGTAGAAAAAAGGGATTTCATCAGAAGGCTTGCAAGGAATAGAAAGGAATGATAACAAAATCTTGTGACTCTCAGAGAGTCCGAGCCAGCTGGACTGTGATTGGCCATTAATTAGAAACAACCACATGAGACCAATCACAGATGCACCTGTTGCACTCCACAGCAGCAGATCATTGTTGGTTTTCTTTTCCTCTGAGGCTTCTCAGCTTCTCAGGAGGAAAATCCTGGCAAAGGGATTTTTCAGAAAATACCATGGCGACCCAGACCAGGAGGTGTTAGAGCCTTGCTCAGCTCCTTTGGGCTGGAAATCCTTGGGGAGGAGTCAGTGGGCCTGGAAATCATTTCCCCCTTCCTTTTCCCAGTGGGAAAAGCTGTTCCAGGAGCCCTTGGAAGGTCAGAGAGGGCTCAGGGAGGGTGTGGGTCCAGCTCAGGTGTGTCCAGCAGTGGGAATGCAGGGGCACAGCTGGGGTAAGATGCAGGAATTGTGCTCCCATCTCACCTTTCCCACCTGCCCTTGTCTCCTCCCAGGGCCCTCAGGGCGAGCCAGGGCCCCCAGGACAGCAGGGGAACCCCGGGGCTCAGGTAAGAACAAATCTCCTTCTGCACAGCTGGGAAAAACAGAGGGGACAATTCAGCACCAGGAAGGGGAGCAGCATTTGGAGAGATTTGGCTTGAGGAAACAATTCCAGCCCCAAAAATCTTCCTGCCAACCCTCCCAGCGTGGGATCCCCCAGCTCTCACCTGGCTGTGGCACAGCCAGAGCAGCTCCAGGTGGCCAAACCCCATCCTGTGGGATGTTGAACACTCCCAGTGCAGCTCTGCAGAGCCAGGTGGGCAATGCACATCTCCAGGCTCTCCCCGTGGCTCTCAGGGAATCCTGCTCCTCTGAGCATCCCTCCTGCCCACAGCCCCTGCAGCTCTCCAGGCATTTTACTGCCCCTCACAAGACATTTTGGGAATGAATGGAGCTGGGCAAATCCCCAGCCCTCACAGGCACTAAAATAATGCACAGCCAAGATGCATTTGGAAGGAATAACTTGCTCCTTTACAACCTCAATTTTAATTTTTTTTTTTTGGTTTTTCACAGGGTCTCCCAGGTCCGCAAGGCGCCATCGGTCCCCCAGGAGAGAAAGTGAGTTGAAATTCAGCTCTGGATTCTCCTCCCTCTGCCATGGATTTGCATTTTGCTCCTTCAGCTGCTCCTTTGCCCCATGTGCAACATCTGTTTGCAGCCATGGCCATGAAAGTCTAATGCTCTCATTCCAGACAGAGGAGAGCTCAGGCCAGCTCAGTTTACCTCTAATTCATTATATTTGCATTCATTTCCCCTCTGGGGAGAAACATTTTGAAGGCAGCCTATGGTAAAACATGAGGAGAGGATTGAAAATTGGTATTTTTTTTTTTCTGTGGGTTTTGGGAGTCTGAGTGGGATGATAATGGGGAGAGCCCATGCATCCCTTCCCTCTGCCTCTGATTTTTTGGCTGTCAGCGTGGGGCTGGTGCTGCCCTTGGACCAGCAGGGTTTAAAGGGGGAGAAACTTCCCCCAAGAGCTCTGGGACCAGCAGGGTTTAAAGGAGGTGAATTTACCCCAAGAGCTCTGGAACCAGCAGGGATTAAAATGAGGAAAAGTTTCCTCCAAGAGCTCTGGGTCCAGCAGGATTGAAAGGGGCAAAAGTTTCCTACAAGAGCTCTGGGTCCAGCAGGATTGAAAGGGGGAAAAGTTTGCTTCAAGAACTCTGGAACCAGCAGGATTTAAAGGAGAAATTTCCCCCAGGAGGTCTGGGACCAGCAGGATTTAAAGTAGGAAAATTTCCCCCAAGAGCTCTGGGATCAGCAGGATTTTAAGGGGGTGGATTTACCCCCAAGAGCTCTGGAACCAGCAGGGTTTAAAGGAGGTGAATTTACCCCAAGAGCTCTGGGTCCAGCAGGGATTAAAATGAGGAAAAGTTTCCTCCAAGAGCTCTGGGACCAGCAGGATTGAAAGGGGGAAAAGTTTACTTCAAGAACTCTGGAACCAGCAGGATTTAAAGGAGAAATTTCCCCCAAGAGGTCTGGGACCAGCAGGATTTAAAAGGGGAGACCTTTCCCCCAGGAGCTCTAGAATCAGCAAGAATTAAAGGGGGAGAAATTTCCCCCAAGAGCTCTGGGACCAGCAGGATTTAAAGGAGGAAAATTTCCCCCAAAAGCTCTGGGATCTGCAGGATTTAAAAGGGGAGAACTTTACCCCAAGAGCTGTGGAACCTGCAGGATTTAAAGGAGGAAAAGTTTCCTCCAAGAGCTGTGGAACCAGCAGGATTTAAAGGAGGAGAACTTTCCCCAAGAGCTCTGGAACCTGCAGGATTTAAAGAAGGAAAAGTTTCCCCCAAGAGCTCTGGAACCTGCAGGATTTAAATGAGGAGAACTTTCCCCAAGAGCTGTGGAACCAGCAGGATTTAGCAGAGAAGTTTTCCCTTCAGAGGGGTCATTTAGGACATTCTCAGCTCCCACAGAGCAGGGGCACTGTGTGTGTGTCCCTGTGTGCCCCCTCCTGCTTGTTTGGAGTGCAATAATCAATAATGCCCTGGGAAGGAGCACCCTGGCAGCTCTGTCAGACAAGTGGCACCTCCTGATGGGGCAGAAATCAGCAGCTGCTGATTAAAAGGTGCTCACTGAGCAGTGTTAGAGCACTCAGCTGGGGCAGCTCCTCTCCTTTGCCATTTTTCACCCAGAAATGGGCATTTCTTGGTCCTGTGAGCCCAGAGTTTGGTTATCCCCACCTTGTCCTCACCCAGCTGTGCAGCATCCTGGCTTTTGGGCAGTTTTTGTGGTGCCTGAAGCTCCCATTGCTGCATCCTGTGTATGAGGTGTCCCAGGATGCTGCAGCACAGAAATAAACAGATTTCCCTCCAACCTGTGGCAGCTTTTCCACCTCTTCCACCTCTCACAGCTGGGAAAAGCAGGAAACGTGGCTGGAAATGCCCATCCTCTGGTGCTCTGGAGGCTCTGATTGATTTTGTGTTTGGTTTTAGGGCCCTCTGGGCAAACCTGGTCTCCCTGGCATGCCTGGTGCTGATGGGCCCCCGGTAAGTGCTGCTCTCCTCTTCCTCCTGCAGGGGCTTCTCCCCACCCTGCAGTGGCCCCTGGGCTTGGAAATGGGAGCCCAGGTTGGGATCTGAGCCCCTCACGGCTCCAAAGAGGGGGAATGGGAAGGGTAAAAGCAAGGAAAGCTTTTTGGTTGGGATAAAGGCACTTTAAAAATGGGAATAGAGAGCACTGTATTAAAATGGAAACAAGGAGAGTTTAGAATGGAAATGGAGTTTAATATGGAAGAAAAGACAGTTTAGTATGGAAAAAAAAAACAACTTTAATATGGAAAAAAAAAGTTTGATATGGAAAAAACCATCCTGCAAGGTCAGCTCACCCTCCTTGGAGGCTGGGGTCAGTTTGGGAAGCCCCATCACAGGTCTGCTCACCCTGGGTACTCCTCACCATCCCTTCAGGCCTCTCTTTCCCCCCTTCCTGCTCCTGCCCTGTGCTCTGTGGGTGTTTATTCCCATCCCAGAGGCAGGGATGGACCCTGGGGGTGTTTATTCCATCCCATGCCTGGGTTTCACAGAGGTGATGAGAGCAGCTGGAAATTCCCTGTCAATGTTCCATTCTCAAAGCTTCCCCCTCTCTAATCCCACTTTCAACATCGTTTGCTCCTCGCAGTCAAAATCAGCCTCAAAAAATAAAAAATCACCGAGCCTTTCAACCCTATCTCATTGTTACCCATCTCAGAGAGACATTCATTTAAGAATGAAAAAAAAAAAAACCAAAAAAACCACTGCAAAAATTGTTTCATTCTGCAAATGCAGAGCACGGCCTGAGGAGAAGAAAAAAAAAAGAAAAAAAAAAAGAAAAAAAAAAAAGAAAAATTGCATTTCCCACCCTGGGATTGTCATTCCTACAGAGGGCACTTGGAACATCCGTACAATTGTTAGCTGAGTCAACAGAGCAGCTCCAGCAAAGCCCAGAACATCTCTAAATCTGTAGGTTTTGATGTGAAATTCCTGCAGCAGCCTCCGGGGAGCTTCTGCTGGAGAAATTCTATTTTTAAGCAGCCTGGAGGCTGTGGAGGAGCCGCAGAGTGGCTGTGCACGGGCAGGGACCTCTCCCACAGGTGGGCTTGGATTGCTCTTTGCAAGGCCAAAAAGGGTTTTATTTATGGGAATCTCTCTTGAGAAATCCCTGAAAATCCCCAAGGGCCTCTCTGGGAGAGCTGCTCATCACTTTGTGACCTCAGGAGCAGCCAAGGAGACGGGCACAGTGAAAATGGGGGTGGTTTAGTGCAGGCTGGACCCAGGCTTTGGAAATCCTGCTGCAGGTTCATCCTGGAGCTGAAGGCAGGAGTGGTTTTAGGGATCCTTTGTGCCCTGGTGCTCTTGGCGCCATTAAAATCGCAGGAGGTTTGAGTTTTCTCAATCCAATCAAGCTGAGATTTGAGTTTTCTCCCCCGTTTTGCTGCTGGAGGAGTGGCAGCTGTCATTTTGTTCCTTTATTAAACTCAGGGAGTCTGGCTGGTCTGACAGTCCCTTCTGAAAGCGATGATGGAAAATGCTCATCATTTTCTTTGTTCTATGGGTAGAAAATTGAGTATTTAAAGGAGAGAGCTCAGTGCAGAATGGCTTTAGAGCAGCTGGATGTGCTCCCACCATCCTGAACAAACCCAGGTGTGCAGTGAGTGCCCTTCTAGGGGTCACTGATATTGCAGATATTGACAGATGTGAAAAACGCCAATCACTTGTTTTTAAAATTTTTAAAAGTTTAATAGTAATAAAATGGTTATAAAAATAGTAATACAATTAGAGTAATAATAATTTGGACAATTTGAATTAGGACAATATGAGACAATAGAAACAAAGAGTTATGGACAGTCCAGGTACCTTTTCTGAGGTACAGAAAAAGGCCCCACGTTAACAGAGGATTAACCCTTAAAAACAACAGCCTGTTGCATATTCATACACCTCATCCATGATGCATAAATTCCATTCAAACACAGGATTCTGGCTGGGCAGTGTCAGCTTCTTCCTCTGAATCCTGACAGAGCCTTTGAGGCAGGAAGAAGTTCATTTCTCCTGATAATGGAGCAATAAATTCTCTTTCTCTGAAAGGTTCAGGTGTCCTGTGGCTGCTATCTCACTGCCAGTCCTTTCTTTAAAATAAGTATCCTAAATAGCATAATTTCTTTTTTAACATTTTTCATAACTTAAAACTATATTTAATACACTGCTTAAGAGAATTATTACAGCATCACTTGCTAACACAACACATATAATATTCATTTGAATATTTGCAAAAAGCCAATCATAAAATACATGCATTTTTCACACCAAACCAAAAGTTATTTTCCATCCCAGCTCCATTTTGGATCCAGCTGTAGGGAAACCACCCAAAACCACTTTCCTGCATTCCCCATTTCTCCCTGACCCTCCCAGCTCTACCTGGGGCAATTCACACTTTGATTTTCCCTGCCTGCCACCCCAGGAAAAGGCCATAAAGGTGATGAGAACATGTTGGGACCTCTGGGATGCTGAATTATCCAGCATCAAATGCCAAGAGGAAAGCTGGCCAGCCTCTGGCTAGCAGGGATGCAGGTTAGCTTAGATCCATGATTCTCATGGGACCTCTCCAGGAATTAGGAACTTAATGAGGGGCTCTGACCAGTCTGGGCACCTTGTGACCTTCACAAATTTCCTGCCAGCAGGATTTTATCTGTTTATCTGATCAAAATCCTCGGGCTGCTTTCCTGCTGAACTCCCCCAGGTGCTCTGCTGTGCAGAGAATATTCCAGAATGCTTCGTGCTGCTCTGCTGGGAGGTGCTGAAGGGGAAAATGAGAAATATCCAGGTGGAAAAGCACCAAGGATCCAAATGCTGCTCTTTTCCCTTTGGGAAAAGCAAGGTGGCTCCAGGAAGCCAGCCTGTGGCAGTAGGAGCTTCCTGGGGAGCTGCTGCTCTCTGGCAAATCAATCACAGCTACCAAAGCATTCAATGTGCTCTAAAGCCCAACATAAATGTGCTCTAAACCCCAAAATAAATGTCCTCTAAAGCCCAAAATAAATGTGCTCTAAAGCCCAAAATTCAATGTGATCTAAACCCCAAAATTCAATGTGCTCTAAATCCCAAAATTCAATGTGCTCTAAACCCCAAAATTCAATGTGCTCTAAAGCCCAAAATAAATGTGCTCTAAAGCCCAAAATTCAATGTGATCTAAAGCCCAAAATTCAATGTGATCTAAACCCCAAAATTCAATGTGCTCTAAACCCCAAATTCAATGTGCTCTAAACCCCAACATAAATGTGCTCTAAACCCCAAAATTCAATGTGCTCTAAAGCCTAACATAAATGTGCTCTAAACCCCAAAATAAATGTGCTCTAAACCCTAAAATTCAATATGCTCTAAACCCCAAAATTCAATGTGCTCTAAACTCCAAAATTCAATGTGCTCTAAAGCCTAACATAAATGTGCTCTAAACCCCAAAATAAATGTGCTCTAAACCCCAAAATTCAATGTGCTCTAAACCCCAAAATAAATGTGCTCTAAAGCCCAAAATAAATGTGCTCTAAAGCCCAAAATTCAATGTGATCTAAACCCCAAAATTCAATGTGCTCTAAATCCCAAAATTCAATGTGCTCTAAACCCCAAATTCAATGTGCTCTAAACCCCAACATAAATGTGCTCTAAACTCCAAAATTCAATGTGCTCTAAAGCCTAACATAAATGTGCTCTAAACCCCAAAATAAATGTGCTCTAAACCCTAAAATTCAATATGCTCTGAACCCCAAAATTCAATGTGCTCTAAACCCCAAAATTCAATGTGCTCTAAACCCCAAAATTCTCTTTTCTCTTCTCCCCACAGGGTCACCCTGGCAAGGAAGGTCCTCCTGGAGAGAAGGGCAGTCAGGTTGGTGTCCACAAATCCCTCAGCTCCACACGAGAAGGTCAGGGCGGCTGGGTGGAGATGGATCTGCACAGGCATGGCCAGGGGGGCAGGGGAGAAGCAAACCCAGCTGAAATCTGAAAGCTGAGCCCAGATTTTGTCTCTGGGTGTCTCCTGTGAGCTGCTCCCAGCTCTCCTGGCCAGCAGAGCTCCACAGAGCAGCCCACACCAAGAACCCAGCCTGGGAAGGGAAGCTTGCTCTTGACAGACACAAATAAATGTCCTTTGTGGCACGGGCAATGTAGAAAATAGATTTTTTTTTTCCTCCTTTCCACCTCCAAGTCCCTCTTTAACAATATATTTGAGATTATTGCCGGAGGCCAAAGCCTTTGAATTATGCACTGGTCTGTCTGTCTGTCTGTCCAGGAGATTTGCCAGCTGCAGTCCTGCTGCAGACAGCACTGCAGTTGTCAAAATTCTCTGCTCAGAGTTCAGCCCAGCTGGGTGGACTGAACCAGGAGTGCTGCTGGGCACAACCACAGCTGGGTTTGTCCCTCTGGTGTCACAGGAGGCTGAAAATCCCAACCTTTCCTCTGGAGAAATCAAAATGGTGTGGGGGTGATCCCTTCTCTCTGTGATCATCACCAAAAGTTTAATTTAAATGTGTACTATATATATATAGTTTAAATATTGAATATAATATATTTAACTTTTGGAAGCAGGGTGGAACATTCCTACAGAACAGAACATGTTCCTCCTCCCTGGTTTTCTCCAACCCAAACCACAAATCATACCTTGTGCATAAATCCCCTTCCTAACAAATTGTTTCCATCCTGACCCTCCTCATCCTCCCTTTCCTGTTGGATGGATCTTTGCCACCCCACCTGCAGGTGATGCTCCTGCAGCTCCCCAGGCTGTTTTGGGGCTATTTTGGGTTATTTTGGGCTATCTGGGGCTGTTTGCAGGTGGCTGCTGCCATTCCTACCCATGTGGGAAACAGGAAATTTGTTTTCCGCACCCTCTCCTCATCAGTGCACCTCTGGGTTGGTTTTTGATGTGTTTTTCTTGTTTGCATTTCATCCCCTCAGGGTCCCCCAGGTCCTCAGGGCCCCATTGGTTATCCAGGACCCCGTGGAGTCAAGGTAAGGAGATGCAAGGGCAGTGTCCCTGGAATTGTGCACTGGAGCTTGCAGAGATACAATTAAACATCACAGAAATTGACACAATTAATGGTGATTTTTAATTTCTTCACCCTGAACTTTACCCCTGCCCTGGTGACATCTTGGTTTCTCTCTCAAGGGAGCAGATGGAGTTCGTGGGCTGAAAGGCACCAAGGGGGAAAAGGTGAGATCAGTTTGGGCTGTGTTTCTGCAATTTCTGAGCATCTTTGTAGAGGGATCCCACAGGATCTTCCCTGGAAGGTTTTCCCCTGAACAAGGGATTTTTCTTGAGGGGGGAAAAAATGGGAACTGAGCACCTTTCCTTCATCCCTGCCCCTGCCCAGAAATTCAGCAGCAGTTTGAGCTTGGGATCTCCCAAACTTTAAAGCTTTCTGGGAAATGTCTTCACTGCCTCTGGGGATTAGCTGTAGGATGAGATGCATTATTGATTAATCTGCAATTAAACCTTCTTGGCTGAAGGAAATATTGCAGTGTCCTGGAGGCTGCCTGGGAGCAGGTGCAAAACCTCCTTCATGAGAATGAAACCACTTCTACTCCAGAAATAATTGGTTCCCAGCGCTGCCAAGGTCCTGTTGTTCACTTTGGGGCTGTTTGTGGTGCTGCCTTGCAGCCAGGATGGGATGCAGGGCACATCTGGGGACACTGCAGGGGTTCTGTGGGTTTTGGGTGGGTTTCCATTCCTGCTTGTGCACTCCAAGGACTTGGAGAAGGCAATGTGTGGACCTCAGCTTGTCCTCCCTGAACAAATGAGGCTTGAGAAACTTCCATTCTTTTTTTTTTTTCCCCCATCTCTACCACATGGGTGATTTTTCCCCTCTCCATTTTCAGGGTGAAGATGGTTTCCCTGGCTTCAAAGGTGACATGGGCATCAAAGGAGACCGGGTGAGAGTCTGGGACCTGTGGGATCAATCCAGCAGCTCCTGGTGAGCCAGGAAAAGGCTGGCTCAGCCATCTCCTGCTCCCTGTGTGACAAAGTGACACTGCTGTCCCCTGTGCTGCAGCTGGCAGGGCCACAATCCATGTCAGCAGCTCAGATTCCCCAGTAATTCCCATAATTTCCCTGCAGCTGCCCAGCTCAGCCCTCCATCAAACACTTCCCAGGGCTTGCTCTGCACATCCAGGTGGAGGTGAAAGGGAGGAAGGTGAAAGGGCTGCAGTCAGAGCTGATGGAGGCTGGTTTGGTGGAGATATTCCCAGTGAGGATGGGAGAATTTTGTGCATGACACCTGGATTTTGTGGCATTTTGGTCACATCCACAATTTCATCTCCCCGAGCCTCCTGCTGAAGCCCAGCTTTCTCCCAGAGCAGCTCCATGGAATATGTGCTGCCAGCAACCCCAGGATCCGGGACCTGCCTGTCTAATTAACCCTTCTCTGGTAATTAACAGGGGGAAATTGGCCCCCCTGGCCCTCGGGGTGAGGACGGGCCCGAAGGTCCCAAAGGTCGCTCTGGCCCCAATGGAGATCCAGGTCCTCTTGGTCCTGCTGGAGAGAAGGTGAGCCCAGGATGGGAATTCTGTGTTTTACATCCAACCCCACAATGTTGGGTGTCTCAGGGGTGTGGGCAGTTTTAGGGCAGAGGGGGAAAGAGGAGCTGTGGGAGTTTTGTGTGAAGGGAGGCCCGAGGGAGGTGGGTTTAGGGCAGCCACATTGAGGCTTTGGTCTCTTTGGGGTTATTTTTAAATAAAAAGATCAGAGGGGAATAAGCGGAGAAACGGAAAGTTTAATTTCAATAAATTTCAATAAATTGAAATGGGGTTTTTTAATTTCCCAATAAAAGCCCAACCATTCCTAGCTGGTTCCCAGCATGGTTACAGTGCTCACTCTGCATCTCCCCACTGGGATTCCCTCAAAGTTTAGTTCCACCTGCCCTGCTCCTCCCTGCCCTTGGCATCCCCCCTGCCCTGCTCCTCCCTGCCCCTGGCATCCCCCCATTCTTGCTGCCTCAGAGGCTCTAACTCCCTTTTCCTTCTTTTCCAGGGAAAACTCGGCGTGCCAGGATTGCCTGGGTATCCAGGCAGGCAGGGCCCCAAGGTAACGGGCACGGGGTGGGATGGGATGGGATGGGATGAGGAAATTTGGATGGGATGGGGTGGGATGAGGAGGTTTGGGATGGGATGAGAAGGTTTGGATGGGATGGGATAAGGAGGTTTGGGATGGGATAAGGAGATTGGGATAGGATGGGATGGGATGGAGAGGTTTGGACGGGATGAGAAGGTTGGAATGGGATGAGGAAATTTGGATGGGATGGGATAGGATGGGATGAGGAGATTTAGATGGGATAGGATGGGATGAGAGGTTTGGGATTTGATAAGGAGCTTTGGATAGGATGGGATGGGATGAGGAGGTTTGGATGGAAATGGGATGAGGAGTTTGGGATGGGATGGGATGGGATGGGATGGGATGGGATGGGATGGGATGGGATGGGATGGGATGGGATGAGGAGGTTTGGATGGAAATGGTATGAGGAGATTTGGATGGGATGGGATGGGGAGGTTTGGATGGGATGGGATGAGGAGGTTTGGATGGGATGAAGAGGTTTGGATGGAAATGGGATGAGGAATTTTGGATGGGATGTGATGGGGAGCCCAGGAACGCAGCCCAGCTCAGCCCCCGTTTGTGGGGTGAGGTCCCTCCTTCCCACTCATGCAGGACAAAAATAGGGATGCACAAAAATAGCTGCTGGTGCATGGCTTGGGTCCCAAAGTGGTGGGAAGAGCTGGAGAAGGGCTGGGATGTGCAGGGAAGGCTCCTGGGAGCTTTCCTGCTGCTGAAAGGCATTTCAGTCCTTCTCCTTGGATTGGGGTTTTTATCTTCCAAGACAGCATTATCTAATTAATTAAGGACAATAGTTAATGACTCAGGGTCTCCCTGAAATGAAAAGAAAGCTGCCATTTGCATATTTGCAAACAGCCTTTGTAGCTTCTCTCCACGCCCACCTCCGTTTGGGCCATTTTCAAGGCATTTTTTTAAATTAAAACTGTGAATTCCACTCCATAGACTTAGGCTCCAGCCCAGTTTTCACATGCCCTGGAGGCTTTGGGAACTTCTGTTTTTGTTAACTTCTTTTGTAAGAATGGTATTTTATTATTCATGTTCCCTGCTTAAAAAAAAAAAAAAATCCAAACCAAGCCAGGCTTGTTTCATTCTGGAGACAGAATTATCTGCAAGAGATTGTTTCCTGCTTGTGGTGGGGCTGCTTTATTTTTAATTTACATTCTATATCTGGAGTAAGGTTGTGGGGGGTGGTTTTTTTTTGCATTTTCTTGGACTAATCCATATTTTAAAAGCAGCAGCAGCAATTCTCCAGGCGTTGGCATCAGACAGAAACAAGCCAGGAGTTAAATTTTCATGTGCACCACAGTGACTTAGGAGCTAAAATCCAAAACCCTGCCTGGGCTCCCATCACAACCATGGGCTTGGGGTTTTGTAGTGAGTGCTAATGAGCCATGGGTATTTGGTTTTGGTGTTGGTTTTGGAGAAAATTGAATGTCAGAGGGAACCCCAAAATTCAGGTTTTTGTAGTGACTGCTACTGAGCCATGGATATTTGTTTTTTGTGCTGTTTTTGGAGAAAATTGAACGTCACCCCAAAAGTCAGGTTTTTGTAGTGACTGCTAATGAGCCATGGGTATTTTGGTTTTTGTGCTGTTTTTGGAGAAAATTGGATGTCAGAGGGAACCCCAAAATTCAGGTTTTTGTAGTGAGTGCTAATGAGCCATGGGTATTTTGGTTTTGGTGTTGTTTTTGGAGAAAATTGCATTTCGGAGGGCACCCCAGGCCTGCTGGCTTTGCTGTCGTTGGAGGGAGGTTCGGGGCACAAGGGCTGGGGGCTCTGGGGATGGCCAGAGCTGCCCCAGGGCTGTCCTGAGCCTCTCCCTCCCTCTCTGCTCTTCCCCCAAGGGCTCCATCGGCTTCCCAGGATTCCCAGGAGCCAACGGAGAGAAGGGTACAAGGGTAAGATTTGCATCCCCACTGCTTCACTCATTTCTTCTTCTCCAAAGAGATTTGGGGACCATTCCTTTGCTCCAAAGGCTTCTCCGCTCAGGAATTGCCCAAAAAGGCTCATCCCAGGATGAGGTTCCTGCTGCAGGACAGGAGGATGCTAGGGATGGCACAGCCAGCACCTTCCCAATTAAATCCTGGGAATTTTCCCCTCAGGATATTTTAAGAGGCTCCTCTGAACCTGAATCCTTTGCTGAGACTTTGCTCAGGGCACAAAGAGCTCTTTAATTAACAGTAATTATTAGGGATGGCTGAGTCTGTTCAGAAGCAGCCAGAACCATCTTTCACCCAACTTTGAATTCTAAATGCGCGGCTGAGAACACTCTCAGTGCTTTTAATAAGCTGCTCAAAATTCAGAGACACCCTGAAAATCAGGGGGTTTCATCCCCCAGCCTTGTCTCTGCCTCTCACCCCACCTCCACAGCCTTCTCTCAGAGTAGGGATTGTCTAAATATACTGATTTATTTTTTATCTGCTGCAGAACATGCTGGAATTAAAGGATTCAGAGTACAAACAAAGTCATTTTCTGCACCAGCTCCGGTCACAGTGACAAGAAGGGGGAGTGAGGACAGCAAGTGGAATTAGTTTCCTTTTTACTCTCATTTAAATAGAAATGACTTCTAACAGGCAGCTTTGAGAGGAGCCCAGCAAATATAAATCACTTTGCACTGCATTAATATCCTACCCCTGCAATTTGGGTTCTATCCACCCCCCCTTTTTTTATAATTTCATTTCATCTGGAGCTACAAATTCTCATCCCCATCCCTCCCTCTGCTCTGGCTGGGCAGGAGGAGGGAGGCCAGGAAATTCAGCCTGGAATTCCCTGGAATTACCCCCCTCCTTCTCAAATATCCAGCAATGAAACCCCTGGGCTGGATTTCTGGGGGGTGTAAAAGAGGGGAGGGATTGTTCTGCTTCGAATCCCTGAGCATCCATCAATGATTCTATTCTGGGATGGAATCAAATCCCAGCTGGGAGGGAATGGGAAACCTTCCAGGGAGTGGGGAAGGTACCAGGAGCTGGGCATTGCTGAGGCTGGAACAAACCCTGAGGGGGCTGAGGTTTGAATTTTGGCATTTTCCAGCCTGAAAGGGGCTGGGGAGGGAGCAGATCTGATGGGAAAGGGCCCAGCTTCAGAACCAAGCCATGAGAAGAGAAGGCAAAAAATCAGCACTTCCCTCACTTTTATTCCAAATGAGCTTTGTGCCTTTCATGGAGGTAGTGAGGATATTTAGTTACACCCTTGGCTTGCCACACATTTCTTCACTTCAGGAATTAAAAAACGGCTTTTTAACCTTTCAAACATTGATTTGTTTCATGGTAATTCCAATTTTTAATTTTTTTTTTATTATTTCCAATGGGTTCTACCATTTATACCAAATTAATCAACCTGCATTCACTTTATCAGTGTACAGAGAAATTTTCATGGACAAATCTTTCCATTAGCAACAGGAGCTCAGCTTGGAAATTTAAGACTAGCAGAAATGTTGATTTTCAGTAACAGCTTTGCTATCCATCTATTTTTTTTTTTCCTCCCAAGTATCCCGTTTGAAAAAAGAGAAAAGCAATTATACACAGAATTATAGGCTGAGCTGGGGTCACTCTGCTCCAGTCCTCATCTTAATTTAAGCCTCATTGAGTCAGACTTGATAAATCCCCCTCTGCTTCTCCTAAGACCACTCAATTTGTTTTGTTTATGAATGTGTTCACATGGAGCCAAGAAATAAAATTTCTAGGGTTTTTTTTCCCTGCAGTTCAATGTGGAATAATTCAATTTGGAGCTGCAAAAACCCCAAATCATTTGTTTGTCTTTCCTTTATCACAATATCCCCGTTTTGCTCTTCAGTTCCCTGGTTTATGTGGCCAAAATCATGCAAATCCCACATTTCTCTGCTGAAATGGAGCTCAGCTTTTCAGCAGCACAGAGAGTCTTCCCAAGTTCTTAAATAATTCAAAAAAAAAGGTGAAAATCAAAGGTGGAAGGGCAGGACCTGCACAGGCAGCTGAATTTTAGTGCTGAGGTGCTGAACAAGCCCAAACACAAAAGTTCAGCTCGTGGATGTTCAGTTGTACAAAAAAAGGGCTGAAAAGGTAAAAATGGCTAAAAAGGGAGGAAGATGATTAGAGGATGAGGCTGGGAAAAGGCTGGGAGGACTGGGACTGCTGGAGAAGAGAATCTTTGGGATGAGCTGAATTTGGAGGGAAGCTGCAGGAAAGATGGAATAAAACTGCTTAAAGGAGCCTGGAGTGGCTTTGGGTGGGGCTTGGAGCAGCCTGGGCTGCTGGAAGGTGTCCCTGCCCATGGGGGTGTTTGGAATGAGCTGAGCTTTAAGGTCCCTTCCAGCCCAAAGCAGCTTTTGCTCCTCTGTTTGGTGCTTTTGGAGAATTCTGAGCCATTAAATCCCCCCAGAGCTGCTCAGCACCGAGCCCCTCCTCAGCTCCAGGTGGGCTCAGCATCTTTTCAAGCCCTGCTCATGAAATCAATACTTAAACATGAATAATAAATCTTATTTTAAGAGCTATTTTCTGCCTTTAGAAGGGAGCAATAGATTTTCCCTGCTTGCCCAGTTTGACAGAGCTCCCCAAATCCAACTATTTCTTGGTGTGCCTGGAAAATAATCTGAATTTAGCTGCCTTCATGTCAAAATCCTTGTTTGACAAATACAGGTCTGTGTATATTTACAGGGGATATAAATTCTTTGCGACTGCACATGAATGCATGACTAATGACAACAATAAGCAGGGGGAAATTTGGCTTAAAAATAGAATTGTGGGAGAAGGAGAGGAGTGGGGGGGTTTACCTGAGGGGAGGCAGCACCCCCTCCTCCCCACCTGCTCCCAATTTAGCCTCCAACAAAACCAGCTGGAATATTTTAAAGTGAATTTTGCCATTAATTAAAAAAAAAAAAAATGCCAGCAGGCTTTAATAAATGGAGCTGCAAGAACAAGGAAGATTCAGCAGGACTAATTTTAGCAGCTGCAGGAAAGTTGATGGGAAAGTTCTGCAGCTCCTGTTTTATGTTCTGCTGGTTAATGAGTGTCAGAGCTGAGCAGGCTCTGAGGTGATGGATTTGGGGCAGAAAATGGCAAAGGGATATTTTAAGCACCCAGGGAATGGAGGTTTCCTCTCCTTTCCTTTCGAGGTGATTGGTGCCATTCACAGGCTGCAGGTCCCCAGGGCAAAGTCAAAATTTCTTCCCGTGGTGTTTTGGCCACTTGACACCAGCCCAAACTGGGCTTTTAGGCCATTCCTCTGCTTTTAGGCTCAGCTTAATGGGCTGCCAGCTTTATTTGCAGCAGGCTGTGCCTTTTCCACAGCAGGATTAATCCAGGGAGCCCAGTGCAGCTGTCAGAGCTCACGAGCTGCTGCCAAACAACGCCTGGAATTCCTTGTTTAGCTCTGCGTTAGGGAAATTCGGAAAAATGTAGGGCAGCCTAATTGGCCTGGGTGCAGGAACCTGTGTCACACCTTCCAAACCCCACAGGAACCTGTGTCACACCTTCCAAACCCCACAGGAACCTGTGTCACACCTTCCAAACCCCACAGAACCTGTGTCACACCTTCCAGACCCCACAGGAACCTGTGTCACACCTTCCAAACCCCACAGGAACCTGTGTCACTGTGTCACACCTTCCAAACCCCACAGAACCTGTGTCACACCTTCCAAACCCCACAGAACCTGTGTCACACCTTCCAAACCCCCCAGAACCTGTGTCACACCTTCCAGACCCCACAGGAACCTGTGTCACACCTTCCAAACCCCACAGAACCTGTGTCACACCTTCCAAACCCCACAGAACCTGTGTCACACCTTCCAGACCCCACAGGAACCTGTGTCACTGTGTCACACCTTCCAAACCCCACAGAACCTGTGTCACACCTTCCAAACCCCACAGGAACCTGTGTCACTGTGTCACACCTTCCAAACCCCACAGGAACCTGTGTCACTGTGTCACACCTTCCAAACCCCACAGCAACCCCTGGAGCACGGGGTGAGGGCCCTGCCCTACGTCAGGAGCAGGAATCAGTGGGGAAAAAGGGGTTACAGGTGTTGGGTGGTGGAGCTGAAGAGGTTTTGGGATGCTGAGGGGGTGGCCTCATCTTTGAAAGCATTTTGGGGTTTTAAAGGACTTAAGATGCTGCTCCTGAAGAGATTCATTCCTTCAGGGAGCAGATGTTGTCTGGAATCACTGTCCAGACCTGCCCAAGGGCTATAAATTCAAATAAATACAAGAATCAGGAGGTGGAGGTGAAGCTGCTGCTGAGTTTTTTGTGGCAGATGAGGAGCAGAGAGGTCCTGAGGCTGTGTGTGTGTGTGTGTGTGACAGGCTCTGCTCTGCTGTGGCTTCCTAATCCCTTCTCCTTTTCCATTCCAGGGCACTCCTGGCAAACCAGGTCCAAGGGGGCAGCGTGGTCCCACGGTGAGCAGCCTGTTCTTCATCCTTTTGTCCTTCAAAACCTTGTCCTGGCCAAAGGGAAACTTTGTGTCCTCACTGGGGATGGGATCTGGCCTTCAGCAGCTGCAGCTGAGCCAGGGGGACACAGATTTGGGGCTGGGTGTCTCCACTGAATGTGGTTTAAATCTTTCTGATGACTTTCCTGTCAGCCCTTGCTGCTGCTGCTGGGATGATTTATTGGCCCCACACAGTTCAGAAAGGCCTCAAATGTCACTTTTTGTGTCTTTTCAAGGGTCCACGTGGGGAAAGAGGCCCCAGGGGAAGCACTGGAAAGCCTGGCCCAAAGGTAAGGCTTGGGGGTTTTAAAGGACTTCGGGACTTTGCTCCTGGAGAGATCCATTCCCTCAGAGAGCAGATGTTGTGTGGGCATTGGGATCACTGTCCAGACCTGCCCAGGGGCTGTAAATCCACATAAATACAAGGATCAGGAGGTGGAGGTGAAGCTGCTGCTGAGTTTTTCGTGGCAGATGAGGAGCAGAGAGGTTTTGGGGCTGTGTGTGAGCCTGTGGGGTGGTGTCCCAGGCAGAGCTGGTGTGGAGAGCAGCTGCTCCATCAGCCCCCATCTCCCTCCTTTCCTTTTCCATTGGGTTGGGAAAGCTGAGCCCTCCCAAGGCTCATTCCCAGCTCAGTGGCTCATGACCCAGCTGCAGAGGATGTGCCCAGGATCTGTAAATGTTCTGGCCCAGGAGCCAGCAGGACTCTGAGAGCACTCCCAGACTGGAGACCAACAGAACCCCGACATCAGCACAACCCCACAGCCCCTAAACCTCCCCAGCCCCTCGTTTTTGGGGTTTAAATTGAGTTTAAACCCCCTGAGAGCCATTTTTGGAGCCATTTTTGCCTTCCCACTGCTGAGCCAGCATTGGCCACCAGGCAAAATTTGGGATTTTTCTCCAAACCAATCCCAAAGCACTGATTGATTACCTAAGCACTGATCACCAGGCTGGATGGAAACAGAGCTTTTGTTTATAAACAAATCTCTGGGCTTTGTGTTGGCATGAATTTTGTATAAATCCCCCCTCTTCAGGGTGGCATTTATCTCTCTGAGGGGGCCCACTGTGTGGTGGAAATATCCCAATCTCCCCTGGATTTTTATGAGGGGGGAACAAGCAGCTGCTCATTTGTCACAGGCTGCTGTTCCTGCCACAGAATTATTATTAGAGAGGCCTGGGGGAGTTGCTGTGGTGTCACCGTGGGCTTGGTGCCATCTGAAGCCTTGGCACACAAGAAGCTGTGATGCTGATTTGGGTATTTTTTTTTTAAATGCTGTCTTGTTTTCCTTCTTCCTAAAAGGGCAACTCTGGTGGTGATGGCCCCCCTGGTCCTCCTGGAGAAAGGGTAAGAGGAGCTGAGGGGTCCAGCAGGCTCTGGCAGGGGATGTGGGCCTGCAGGGCTGCCAGGGTTTTTGGCAAGGTGGATCCTCCTGGGTGCCCTGCTAGCAGAGAGGAGTGGGCAGGAGGCAGCTCAGCAAAAGGGAAAATAAAGGGAAATTCTGGTTAAAAATCCAAGGTGAAAGGTGCTGGTGTGGAGAGAGGGCCCCCAAGCCACCTCCAGCCCTTAGGTCCTGTCTGAGCTCTCCAGGGAAGGCTCAGGTGGGACTTTGGGGGTCCTGTGGAAGCATCACTCCACAGTGATGGGGAGAAGGGACAAGTCACCCCTGGGTGACTGCAGGCAGTCAGAATTCCAGGCTCCTTCTGGAGGATGTGGTTCTCTAGGACCTCCTGCTGCTTTCTCCAGACCACAGTCAGGTGGGAAATCCTCAAACAATGGGACTTTCATGATTTTAGCCTCAATTCTGGTTTGGTTTTTTTTTTCCCCACTGGGTTTTTGTTCTGTTTGTAATTTTTTCTACACAACCACCCAGCATTTGCCTTTCCAGACCTTTGTGCTTACCTGCTGCTCACACAGAGGTAATACTTGTAATATTTCATATCAAGTGCTGCAGGTTCCTTAACCAACTTCTCTGCCTTGTCTTCCATCCCAGGGACCACCAGGGCCTCAAGGACCGACTGGATTTCCTGGACCAAAAGGGCCCCCTGTAAGTAACTCAGTTCCTGGGACATCCAGAGGGATAACCCAGCCTCTCCCACCCAGCCTGGGCTGATTCCCTGACAAATTCCCAAGAAAAGGCATCACTGAGACATGCTGATAACAACGCCGTGGTTTCAGATTTTAAATAGCCAAGTAAATTGCAGCTGATTATAAATGTTCATTTCCTACTGACTCAGGATCTCTGGGATCTTTTGTGGCTGTTCTGTGCTTTATTTTCCCTCTGTGGACGTGGAGGACAGCACAGCACTGCTGTCCCTGCAGTTGTTGTACACTGGGGGGACCTCAGAAATGGTTTGGGAGTGATTTCCTGAGCAACTCCTGTGAGATGAATCCTTTGGGAGACGTGTGGGGAGGAAAGGGGTGCAGCTTTTAGGGTCTGCAGCTCCGTTTCCCTGTGAAATAGCCGGGAGCTTGGCCAAGCAGGGCTGATTCCATGTTTGGCACAGTTTTATTGCCAAGCACTGGGTGATGCTGCTTTTCTCCCACAGGGTCCTCCTGGGAAGGATGGATTGCCTGGGCACCCTGGACAGAGAGGAGAAACTGTAAGTAACCAAATAACTTCGACTGGTCATCACTCCAGAGGCTCATTTTGGGTTCTCCAAACCCTCCTGTGCTGCTGGGGAGGTGCAGCCCCAGGCTGGGCTGTTTGGGGTCCCTGAGGGTCTGTCTCTGTGGGAAGCAGCCCATTTCTCCCCACTGCCTTCCCCAGGCATTAAATGAACATTAAAAAGGTTTTGCACATGATGCATTTTCTCCCCTCAGCTTATCAGACAATTTAATTAACTTGCCTGGCATTTGCTAAGCAGGGCAGTGCAAACACTGCTCAGCCCAGCACCAGATATTTATTTACATGCCACAAGGCTGGTTTTAAAACAAGGGGGTTTTGAGGTATTTCTGAGCCAAGTCCTCAGGTCAGGATTAACTTAAAGGTGAAGAGTTTTCACCTGCCAGAGCCTGACTGACATTGAGTCTTCCTTGAGTTTTCCATGACATCCAAGGTGTCATCAGCTTCTGAGTCTGCAGTCAAAAGCATCTACCTCCAAGTCTGCAGGAGTGAATGGAGAATGGTTTTTTAATTATTTTGGGGTCTGAAAGCTCTCCCTAATTGCTTTCCTCAATTTGCCTCTCCCAGGAAAGAGAATCTCTGTTAACCTGTGCCATCAGCCTTGCAGAGATCACTTTCCCCTGCACACCCAGGCAGGAGAAGTCCCCTTTTTGTCCCCTTTCTCCTCACAGTGCCAAAATGCAAGGAGAGAAGCAAAAAAAAAAAATGAATTAAATGCTCTTTCTACATCAGTAGCCTGGTCAGTGCAGTGCATCTTTGTGCAAGATTGAAATCTCTGTGTCAAACACTTCCCCTTATTGAAATTCCCATTCAGCAGCAAACAGGCATGCTGAGATATTTGGCCATATTAGATTTGCAAAGATTGGCTCTAAAAAAACCATGACAGATTCTAAAGCCTCTGTGCTCAAGGCTGAAAGAGTACAAAAGGAAAGCCCTTTCTTCAGGTTAATAAGGAAAGTCCTGCACAGAAATGATCTAAATATTTGTCTGTGATAAGAGTTTAAATTGCACCTTCATTTCCCAAGGATATTTTGCCATTTCCCCATCAGTGACAGGATATTTTCTGATCTGCAGGCAGCCAGAATAGCATGGAGGAGTTATTTAAGCATGACAGGCTAGCGTTGGCATGGGATTTATCTGATCCTCTTTTGTGGCAAGGAGAGAATAGCCCATGTGCCCTAAATGCCATTCCTCAAGCTTGTCAGCAGGCTGGAGTAACAACCATAATTAATGTGCTTTTTAAGGAGTAGCCTGGGAGAGCCAAACAATTGCAGTGGTGAGGGTTCCTCGTTGTCACTCTTCAAAATGCCATTGGAAGGAGCTGTCAGGGAGACTTCCCTGCTCATCAGCCTTTGCAGACAAACAGGGCTGTGCTTCCTTTCAGCAAATGTTGATGGAGGAGATAAAACTTCACTCAGCCCCCGTGGGTTAATCTGTTCCTGAGCTTCTGGGAGCTGAGCTGAGACAGAACGGAGCCTAAACCAGCACCAGAATGGGCAGCAGGAGAAGGGAAACAGCTTTTAAGAGTTGCTCAGCATGAAGAAATTCACACTGATTTTAAGAGCCATTTAATAGCCATTAATGGCGTTTTTAATTGCCATTTCCTCCGTGGTTTTATGAGTGGAACAGATTTTTATAGATATACATATAAATGGCCAAAGCACAGCAGCTCCATCCAAACAGCAGGGCTGAGCTTTGAGAATCCCTTCTTCTTCCTCTGTTTCACCCTTTGTAAATGCACAAGGACATTTTTCCAACTTTCTGTTTGATTTTTTTATTTCATTTTCATTTGGCCCACCCTGGTCAGGGGTTTCACTTGGGGAGGAGCAGCTGGTGGCAGTGTGACCCTCACAGAGATGTCACTTCTTTGTCTTTTCCCTTTCTCTAACAGGGTTTCCAAGGCAAGACCGGCCCTCCAGGCCCCCCTGGTGTCGTAGGGCCTCAGGTAAGAAGCAAATGCTCACCCCTGCAACTGGTCTTTACTGGTTGTGCAGCGGGGACTCCTTTTCCAGAGAAGGCAAAGCCTTGTCAGGTGGCTTTGAAATTCCTGAGGAAGGTGTGAAATCCCCCCATGGCCCCAGCTCACCTTGCTGAGGGGTTGGGATGGGGTTTAGAAAAACGTAAATGTGGCGGCTCCTGTGAGCTCAGCACAACCACCCTGGTGTAAAACCGGAGTAGGGTGAGAAAACAGCTGAAAAGCACAACCCAGCTGAAAAACACAAAACAGCTGAAAAACACAAACCAGCTGAAAAAGACAAAACAGCTGAAAATCACAGCCCAGCTAAACAGCACAACCCAGCTAAAAGCACAACCAGCTAAAAACACAACCCAGCTGAAAAGCAAAAAACAGCTGAAAAGCAAAAAACAGCTGAAAAACACAAACCAGCTGAAAAAGACAAAACAGCTAAACAACACAACCCAGCTAAAAACACAACCCAGCTGAAAAGCACAACCCAGCTGAAAAGCAAAAAACAGCTGAAAAAGACAAACCAGCTGAAAATCACAGCCCAGCTAAACAACACAACCCAGCTAAAAGCACAACGCGGCTGAAAAGCACAAAACATCTAAAAAACCACATCCCAGCTCAAAGGCCTGCAGCAGCCAGGGAGTTAAATGAGATCTCCAAGGGCTGAGCAGCTGCTGGTGGTCAGGGCAGAGCAAACGTGCTGCCAGAGTGCTCTTCCATGTCACTGTGAGGAAAATCATCCCTCTTTCATCTGAAGGGCTGCCAGGTTCTGTCAGAGCTGGGCTGGTTTGCTTTCAGTCACCTCGAACAAGCACAAGCACAACTTCCAGTGAGCCTGCACTGAGCTTAGGACCGGCTTTGGGTCGAGCCTTCTCGCCTGAGCTGCTGGGGAGCAGCGCTTTAATTAGAAAGCAATTAATTTGTCCTCTCTAATGACACCATAAAGCCCCTGATTTGTAAATTCCCTGATTAGGGGCAATCCCCTGACGGCTGTGTCTGTCTTCTCAAGTGCAAATGAGGCTCGGTGGCAATTTGGTGGCGCTCTGCTGGGTGCAGTTGCTGTGATCTGTGGCTGCTGAGTGAGCTCTGCGTGCTCTAAGTGCCCTCCCCGCGGCAGGACATGAGTTACAGCCCTGTCCCCAAAGCTACCAAGGGGGCAGGGACACCGTGGCTTTGTGCATGTGGCTTTTGTCCTCCTGAAAAGGAGCCCCTGGGGAGCCCTGTGTGACACTTGTCACCCTGAGTGCCCTCGGAGGGCACGGAGGCAGCCGGTAATTGCCAGGCAGAGAGAGCTTCATGCATTATTTATGCCCCATCCGAGCAGGAATCAGCGGGCTTGGAGAGAGTGCTTGGGAAGTTTTCAATTAAAAAGGGAAAGCTAAGCATAATAGTTGTGGTGGTAACATCTCGTTTGGGTGAAATCTGGGCTCACTCCAGAGGTTCTCAGTGCCTCCAGTCTGCTGAGGGTGATGTTGGAGACTTCCAGAGCAGATGCCAGAGGGGGAATGTCTCCAGGGATTGCTGGTGGCACTGAAGGCACCTCTTCCATCCCACCCTGCGCTCTTCCCTTCCTCAGCAGTTCTGCCAACACCCACCCTGTTTTCTCTGACTGTTTTTTTCCAGGGTCCAACTGGTGAGACTGGGCCCATGGGTGAGCGAGGCCACCCGGGCCCTCCAGGCCCCCCAGGTGAACAAGGCCTCCCTGGCCTCACTGGAAAAGAAGGGACCAAGGTAGGGACTGGAATCCACCTCCTTGCTGCCCGTCCCTCCCTGGACACGGAGAGGATGATTCAGAAAAGAAATGGAGCTCCTGCCTCATCCCAGCTGCAGGCTGAGGAGATGAGCTGGGCCTCCACGGAATGAGCAGACCCTCAGCTCTTTCTCCTTTTCCTTGCAGGGGGATCCTGGCCCTGCTGGCCTCCCAGGGAAGGATGGTCCTCCTGGACTGAGAGGGTTCCCTGGAGAACGAGGCCTCCCTGGCCCCATTGTGAGTAGAACCTACTTGGTCCCTCCAGCTGGAGAACTCCCAGCTACCCCAGTTGCTGAATTCCCATGCTCCTGTTGTGAATTCCCAGTTGCTCCAGTTGTGAATTCCCAGTTGCTCCTGTTGTGAATTCCCAGTTGCTCCAGTTGTTGAATTCCCAGATGACTTTGTTTTCCTTCCTCCAGGGTTCTCCAGGACTGAAAGGCAATGAAGGTCCCCCAGGCCCTCCAGGCCCAGCCGTGAGTATCCCTGTCCCTGCAGGCAGCACCATTTACAAGCTTGGCAGGGCCAGGCCAGGGTTAGTCACAGCTCCAGGCTTTATCCTGATTTTCCTGACGACTCCCTGCATGTTCCTGTATTTTACAAGCCCTGCATGTAACAGCTCAGTCATTTTGTGGGGTCAGCTGTGGATGTACGTGACGGGCTGAGGGAACTGCAGGGGTTCAGAACATCCAGGATTTTGTTTCTAATCCACCTGCTTTGCCTCTGGAAGTTGTCTCCACTTGAGATCCCTGCTCAGGGCCGTCCTCCTGGAAGGAAACATTCATCATCCAACCCTCCCTGCTGGCTGTGAAGTAGCTCATGCTCTTGTTCCAGGCTGTTTATGTGTCCCCAGGAGCTGAGCAATCTGCACCATCCAGAGGAGAATCCAGCCCTTCCAGGGATTTTAATTTAAAAAAACCCTAATCTGCAGGGCCCCTTAGGCTGGTGGTACCAACTCTTCATGTGGCAGTTATCCCACGGATGAAGAGCTTGGATTTCTCTCTGTCTGCCCATGGGTGAAGCTTGATACTGCAATTAAAGCTCCTTTCCTCCTCCTCCTCCTCCCAACAGGGCTCTCCTGGGGAACGTGGCCCTGCAGGATCAGCTGGCCCTATAGGATTGCCAGGCAGACCTGGCCCTCAGGGACCTCCAGGACCTGCAGGTGAAAAGGGAGCTCCAGTAAGTACCAGTATGAAGATGAACAGTTGTGGGACAGCTGGAGATGTGTGCAGTAGGGAGCTGAGCATGGAATCAGTCCTTGTGGAGATTTAAATTATTAAAAAATAAGGATATAAAGTTCAGTTAGAAAGGAATTTTCTCATCTTGAGCACATCAAACCACTGGATGTCAGCTGCTCAGGTGCCACCCCTGTCAAGCATGGCTGTGACCCCAGGGACTGGTGTGTCCTCAGGCAAGGAGAAGGCCTGGGGGCTGAAAAGGTGCCACAGCCTGTGTCACCTCCTGGTGACAATCAGCCAAGGGCCAGGCCTGTGGGCAGACAACTGAGCCAGCCCCATCAGCAGAAGGAGCCAGAGGTGGCTTAGGTGATGTCAGGCTGCTCTTTGATATCAGAACTGCTTATCAGCCACACTTGCTGCTTTGTTAGAAACTCCAGCAGCTGATCCAGAGGGGAGAATTTCCTGGTGAATCAGTTTTAGGAACATCTGTCCTGTGAGTACCTGCAGCATGTGTCAGTCAGGGCAGGGATGAATAGGCAATTTATGTGGCATCTAATTTATTTAGAGGAGAGCACCCAGGATTCAGATGCAATTCAATCATGGACGAGAAAACTGGAAAATATTCACTGTTCAGTTCCTGTAAACAAACAAATTTGATTGAAAACTCCTGCTCAAAGGAGTACAAGTAGATGTTGACAAGAGATTGTTTTATTCACTTCAGGTGGTTTTATTTGTCCAGAATCTCAGGATGGGCCTCCTGAGAACCCCCCTTAGCTGGGGGTCAGCCAGGGAGGGAGCAGGACCAGAATCAGCAAAAACTGGCTGGTGGGAGTAAAAATTACTTGGGGTCTTGTTTGTCATCCAGGCAGGGCTGGCAGAGGGTTCAGATTAAATCAGATTATGTTGCTGTAGCAGTGAAATTGCAGCTGTGATCTTTACATTTGCTTGTTCTTTTCATTATCCCTCAAGACAGAAGTTTTGTCTCCTTTCAGACAAGGAGCACAGATGAAACATCAGCTGGCAGCGGCTTTGCTGCTCCCGCCCATCCAGCCAGAAGTCATTAGCAGCTGAATAAAACCTTAATGGGCTGTAATGGATCGGTCAGAGGGTGTGACCTGCCTGTTTCTCTGCTTCCAGGGGGAGAAGGGTCCCCAAGGACCGGCTGGCCGGGATGGCATCCAGGGCCCCGTGGGACTGCCGGGACCAGCAGGTCCTGTTGGACCTCCAGGAGAGGATGGAGACAAGGTGGGGACAGCTCCTGCTGCCTGGGGTCACTCTGGCACGGAGCTGGGCAGCGTTTGCACCGTGGTGCACCCCACAGTTGGGTGGGATGTGCTGCTGGAGGAATCTTGTGGAACTCAAAATCCCATGGGATGGGCAGCAGCAGATGGGGCTCCATGTCCTCTTCCAGCCACAAAGTTCCCTAAAATCCACGTTGGCTCCCCCAAATCTGTAGCAGACACCTTCCCACAGATGCCCAGCCTCTCTAAATTAATTCTCTCTCTCATTAAGCCCCTCTGGAGTGGAGAATTCCCAGGAAACATCAGCTGGGACAAATCCCTCGTGCCTGCTCAAAGGGTCTACAAGATGCAGAAATTCCCTGAAATCCACATTGGGTCCCCCAAACCTGTAGCAGACACCTGCCCACAGATGCCCAGCCTCTTTAAATTAATTCCCTCTCTCATTAAGCCCCTCTGGGGTGGAGGATTCCCAGGAAAAATCCCTCGTGGTTGCTCAAAGGGTCTGCAGGATGCAGAAATTCCCTGAAATCCACATTGGGTCCCCCAAACCTGTAGCAGATACCTACCCACAGATGCCCAGCCTCTCCAAATTAATTCCCTCTCTCATTAAGCCCCTCTGGGGTGGAGGATTCCCAGGAAAAATCTGGGGCAAATCCCTCGTGCCTGCTCAAAGGGTCTGCAGGATGCAGCTTCGCGCATGGCGTGGCAGCCGAGGAATTGTAGGGTGGGAAAGGGTTTGGTTGCACCTGGAGTGGCCAAATCTCTGGAATTCTTCACCCATTCAGTCCCTGTGGGGTTTGGGATGAGGATGCAGCCCCTCAGGGCTGCTGGGATGGGGAAGTGGTGATGGATTAATGTTGTCCCTTTGTTCCTGGCAGGGTGAGATCGGGGAGCCTGGGCAGAAGGGCAGCAAAGGTGACAAGGGGGAGCAGGTGAGTGATGGGGACTCTGCTGTAGCTGCTTCTCTTGAGTCTGGTTCATTGTGTGACTTGCTGGAAATAGAAATTAAATTTATATCATTTTCTAATGTTGATTCATCTTCTGTGCTTCATCAAATACCCACATGATGTAAAAAAAAGAGTGAGAGCCTCAAGTGGGAGCCTCCAGCTCCCAGGAACACTGAGATATTTCCACATCACCCACTTAGCATGGAAATATCTGTGAAACATGAGCAGTGTTGCCATCAAAGTTGGGTCTTTGGCTGAAGTTCCCTTTCTGATTTAGTTTATGATAGAGGGGTGGACCTGGTGATTTTTAAAGGTCCCTTCCAGCCCAAACCATCCTGTAATTCTGTGGTAATTCCAGTTCCACACCCATTTTGTGCTGCCCAAAGCCTGAAGAACATGAGTTACCCAGGAGTCAGGGCTGAGTGCTGACACTGCTTTGCTGCAGCAAAAATGTGTTTGGAGGAGCCTGAGGAATGCTGGGGTGTCCAGGGAGGCCTGACCCTGTTCCCCACCTCTCTTTTGGGAATTAATGCAGTTTTAATGGAGATTGTATTGAAGGAATTCACCTTTTCCAGGTGAATTTGTCACTCTGCTCCTAACACTGACATTTCTTTCTTTGTGACAGGGTCCCCCAGGCCCCACTGGTCCCCAGGGTCCAATTGGTCAGCCTGGCCCAGCTGTGAGTATTAGCAAAAATCCCTTTTTTTTCCCCAGAAAGGCCTCCTGGGAAGCACTGGGATGATTCCTGCCTGGCACTGCTGCTGCCCAGCACGAGCAGGGCGTGGTGGGGTGGGGTTGGTGGTCCCCACGTCTGTCTTGGGCTGATCAGAGCCTGTCCTTGCAGGGAGCTGATGGAGAGCCTGGGCCCCGAGGACAGCAAGGCCTCTTTGGTCAGAAAGGTGATGAAGGACCCCGAGGGTTCCCTGGTCCCCCTGGCCCTGTGGGCTTGCAGGTAATTTACAGCATCCAGGGAGGGTTTAGGTGTTGGGAAGGATGAAAGTTTGACAAGAAAGTCTCACAGATGTGTGTACTTAGCAGAAAGATTTTTGAATGTAGAGTCTGATGAAGGAATAGAGATGGAAGCAAGTTTTGATACAGAGGAAAAGAATTGCTGAGCCAGTCTCACTGGATAACCAAGGAGGCAAAGGGTGTGTTGGTTAGAAGGGGTTTTTATGGCTTAGAGCAAAGGATAAACCCACCCCAAACAAGAAGATGTTTTTACCAAGCAGGAAGACAGCACAGGCAAACAAGGCAGCAAATGCTGCAGGTAGAAAAAAGGTCTCAGAATTTTCCACTGCAAGAAAACTGAAAAACAACTTCCAGCTTAAACTGTAATGTACTAGTAAACTAAAAATGTACTAGCTTAAACTGTAATGTACTGACTTTTAGTGATTGGAGAATAGAAGCATGAATATGGCAATTATAGTAGCTATGATAGGCTATAGGTAATAGTTAAGGTATAGATTGGTTCTACTGTGTTGAGATGCTCAGCAAAGAAAAGTCTATAATGCATTGTAACAAAAGAAAAGTCTATAATGCATCTGTAACCTGGACTAAGGGTCTCCAGGCCTGCCTGCAGCTGGAGCTGGCAGCTGTGGGCACAGCTCTGTCACCCATGACTGCTCTAACTCATGGATACAACAAACTGCATTTTGGAGAGCCCCTGGAGTCTCCCATCCCTCATTTGAGCTCTTACATTTAGGGTGGTGAGAGCTGGGGCTCACCTGAGATGTTCCCAGCTAAAATTCACCCTCTGCACCTCCACAGGGCCTGCCTGGACCGCCTGGGGAGAAGGGAGAAACGGGTGACGTTGGCCAGATGGTAAGGGGCTTCCAAATTTCTTATTTCACCACTGACATTGCTCTGAGAAACCTGTCTGAAATTTGTCCTCCTTTTCTCTCAGGGCCCACCAGGCCCACCAGGACCCAGAGGTCCATCTGGGCCACCAGGAGCAGACGGTCCACAGGGTCCTCCTGGAGGAATAGGAAACCCTGGTGCAGTAGGAGAGAAGGTAAAGCACCCTGAGGAGCCTGAAGCAGGAGTTTGCTGCAGCACTCATGCAGTGCCTTTGCTGTGCCAGCAGAAACCTCATCCCCCTGCAGAAATGTGAATATTTCCATCCCTTTTTTTTCCATGTGTAGGGTGAACCTGGGGAATCTGGTGAGCCTGGTCTCCCTGGAGAGGTTGGCCTGCCGGTAAGTGCCCCCTGGGAGAGGCATGGATGAGCTGGAGAGGTGTGGATGTGGATGGGACAGCAGGGGCTGAGCCAGCCCTGTCCTGGATTTGGGTATTGATGACACATTGCCACGTTCCTGGGTATTTATAGGATCACGTTTAGTCACCAAATCTGGGCTACCCACAGCTGAACACCATGAACACCACTCAGTCCTTGTGGGAAGGGACTGTTAAATCATGTCCTTGTGTTTGGAGACACAAATAGAACTTCTTTTGCTCAGAATTGATTAAAGGATAATTAGAGATCAGTATTTTTTTGTTGTTGTTTTCCTTGATAATAAAAGGTTTTTGTCCTTTACAGGGCCCTAAAGGTGAAAGAGGTGAAAAGGGGGAAGCAGGTCCCTCTGGTGCTGCTGGTCCACCTGGCCCCAAAGGCCCACCAGGTGATGATGGCCCCAAAGGCAGCCCTGTAAGTACCCCCTCAGTCTTTCCTTGCCTTGCCAGCAGAGATTTCTGCATGAAAAGCTGTTCCCAGAGATATCTGTGGAAATTTAAACTCATTTCCTAGCCATGGACTTGTTCTTCTGGTGATCCATGATCTCAGCCCCATTCCTTAGGGTGGTGTTGATGAGGGAAAGACCCTGCTGGACCCTATTTCCCAGAAATACTGGAATTGTCAGTGCTTTTTGCAGGATATCAGAAATCTCACCCCATGCAGAGCAGCTGCAGTAGGGTCACTTTGTGTTTATGGCTTTCCAAGGTCTTCTGCACCAGAGCAGAGCTTCCAAAATAGGATCAAGGAGATTTATTGGGTTTGGGAGCTGTACTTGCACACCCAGCTCCCTGCTGCTGATTCTACAGCTCTGCTGAAGCCACTGGAGCTCTGCTGATTTTACCAGGGGACAATGGTGCAGAGTTTATCTTGCAGGCTCCTCTGATGCCTGAAATTTAAGATGAGATAAGGCAAGATGGCACAAAGAAGCAGAGGAGGCAGGGGAGTTTAGTCATCCCTCCTAACAGATGGGATTTGGGATATCTGTGATGGGTTGCAGGCTGCTCCTGGAATCATGTGAAGCACCCGACAGACATTGTATGGGGAAGAATGCTGAAGTGCTTCAGTCATTAAATGCTCTGAGAGGCTCCTCCTGTGCAAAATGTCACACATTTGCAAAAGCAAAACCTTCCAATCTGCACGTTCCCAAAGCTGGGAGGACTCTGATTTCTGAAACACTGGGATGGAAGTGCCAGCATTGTCTCTGGAGCTCTGGTGGTCAGGATGCAGATCTGGACTGGCTGGGGCAGGGTGGAAACACTGCAGCTCCAAAGAGGAGTTGTGCTTGTACAAATTGGGGTTTTACTCCATAGGGTGGCTCCCTGTGTTGTCACTGGTGCAACATCCCTGACTTGGGAATGTTCTTCTCTCTTTGCAGGGTCCAGTTGGTTTCCCTGGTGACCCTGGTCCTCCTGGAGAGCCTGGTCCAGCTGTAAGTGTTGGTCTCACAGAGCCTCCTCCTCCTGGGGTGGTGAAACTCAACTGTGCTGCTCATTCCCAGCAGCTCCCCTGGCATTTCCTCTGCTCAGCACCATTCACACCCTAAAGAAACCTCCTTGTTCCTTTTCCCCTCCTTTTTAGGGTCAAGACGGTCCTCCTGGTGACAAAGGTGATGATGGTGAACCTGGACAGACTGTGAGTACCTGGAGAGATGAGAGCTGTTCCCCACAGTGCCCGTGGCTCTGTGCCAGCTCCAGGGACACTGAGCCTCTCACTCCCACCAGAATTTCCCACAGGGAACTGCCCACTGAGGATCTCATTCCATCCATCCCTCCATGGATCCCTCCATGGATCCATCCATACATTGATCCCTCCACCCCTCATCCATCCACACCTCATCCATCCATCCCATCCATCATCCATCCATCATCCCTCCATCCCTCCATCCATTCATCCCATCCATGTCCATCCATCCATCCATCATCCATCCATCCATCATCCATCCATCCATCCATCATCCATCCATCCATCATCCATCCACCCATCCATCATCCATCCATCCATCCATCCATCATCCATCCATCCATCATCCATCCATCATCCATCCATCCATCCATCATCCATCCATCATCCATCCATCCATCCATCATCCATCCATCCATCATCCATCCACCCATCCATCCATCCATCATCCATCCATCCATCATCCATCCATCCATCATCCATCCATCCATCCATCATCCATCCATCCATCCATCCATCCATCCATCCATCCATCATCCATCCATCCATCATCCATCCATCCATGGGTGGGGCACTCATGGCTTGTTCTCCTCCCCTCTCTCCCTGCAGGGTTCCCCTGGGCCCACAGGAGAGCCAGGCCCCTCTGGACCCCCTGGAAAAAGGGTGAGTTGGTTTTTTTAGGAAGATTTTCCCAAAAGCACTTCCATTAACTTTTTAAAACTCACAGTGTTACTAAGCCTATAATAAATGCTGTGTAAAACATGTGATAATTAAAAAAAATATGTGATAATTAAAAAAAATAAAATGATGCACCATCCACAGCCATTGGAAATTGATGGGAAGCTGCCAAGCAAATCCCATGGATTTTTTTTTAAAGATGTTAACAGCCCAAAGAAAATCCAAGGATGAGGCACTGCTGCTCTTCCTGCCTTGCTGGCAGAACCCAGGGATTCATTTAGCAAGGAGCTAATTTAAAAAGCTTTTCAGGGATATTTGTCTCCATTTTGTCTCCTTCCCTGGGGCTGCAGCATCGTTTTGCTAATTCCAACGGACCCTTGCAGATCAGCAGCATCTAATTGTGTTTCCCATCTACTCTGGGCTTTCTTTAGGGCCCTCCTGGTCCAGCTGGTCCTGAAGGAAGGCAAGGAGAGAAAGGAGCCAAGGTGAGAGCTGAATGGAATTTCTCTTGTGCTGTGTCCTTGCTAGTCCAAGAGGATCTCCCTCTGCCAAGGCAGGGAGTTGATTTTGCTGCGTGTTACAACAAATTAGCCTGGATTTGGGGCCACTGGCCTCCAATCTGAGCTTATGTTTCAGCCCTTAACAAGCTCTGTGGAGATAATTAGGGCTTGGTAAGGTCACGGGAATGTTTTGCCTGGTTTGGAACATGCAAGTGCTATATTTGGCAATGTAATGTGTTGTAAATAATGGGGTGTGCAGAGCCCCGTGTCCTTTCCCAGGGCAAACACAGCATTCATGGGCTGGGATTGTTTGGGTGGGAGTGCTGGGGAAATGGAGATGGGATGGGAAATTACAGATCTCCTTGTGGCAGCACAGGGGAGGGAGGATGGGTGGATGGAGAGGTGTCCTTGAACCCAGGAGAGCTCAGAGCCAAAGGGTGGTTCCTGCTGGAATTCAGGCAAGGCTGGAAACTGAAGGAGTTTGGAGAGTGCCTGAGGTGGAGGGAGCAGCAGGAAAATCAGGGAGCAGAAAGTTTAATTTCCAGTGCTTTGCATGGATCTGCATCCACTCCATGACGTCCTCCTGGCACCCTCTCACAAAATCATCTGATGTCCCAACACAAATTCAACCCCCTGCATCTTCATCCAGGGGGAAGCTGGTTTGGAAGGACCTCCTGGGAAGACTGGACCCATTGGTCCCCAAGGTGCTCCAGGGAAGCCTGGTCCTGATGGCCTCCGTGGGATCCCCGGTCCAGTTGTGAGTATTCCCAGCCTGAGAAAGCTCAGCTTTTTTCCTGTGTCCCACCTCTCTGGAAGGGGCCTTTTCTCAGGCTTCTGTCCGTGCTGGAATGGCTGACAGCAGATAAAACAGATTTCGTGGGGAAAATGGGATGGTGAATATCATCTCCCACATGTTTCATTTGAGTCTTGGGTCTTCAGCCACTCTCCAGGAGTGATTTTCCTCAACCCACAAGGTCCCTTTTCCAGCAGAGATTTGAGCATGGAAGGAACATAAATCCTTTTGCCTTTGCCACCTGTGAAAAGCCAGGACAATCATTCCCTGGCACAGGTGAATAATCAGAATATTCCCAGCTGGGAGCGCTGCTGTCACTGGCAATGAGGAAATTGCACTTTTTTACAGGGTGAACAAGGTCTCCCGGGATCCCCTGGCCCAGATGGTCCTCCAGGCCCAATGGTATGTCCAGAGCATCCAATCCTAGGAGTTTTTGACCTGGATGAATGAGTGTGACATGAATTCATCCCCTCTTTTTTTTTTCCTCTGTGTCCCAAAGGGCCCTCCGGGTTTGCCTGGTCTGAAAGGAGACTCTGGTCCTAAAGGAGAGAAGGTGAGAATGCACTCAGGATCCCATTGCCTGGTCCCTGGTGGGGTGTGGGGGACAAATGGCACTGCCCAGGGGTCCTGCAGCTGGCAGGACAAGGCTGGGCAGTGTCACCAGCCCCAGTGACAGCTTCAGAGGAGAGCTGGAGCACTCTGAGTGAGCCCCAAGGAGCTGAGCTGTGGGGGAGTGTGGGAGTGCAGAGCCCTGGCCCATTTTTGGGGTGATTCTCCACCCTATAAACTTTTCTCTCATTTATATATATATATATATATATATTTATATATTTATATATTTATATATTTATATAATATTATATATATATATAATATATAATATATATTATATATATTATAATATATATAAACAATATAATAAATAATAATAATAATAATATAATATAAAAATATTATATATATTTATATAACTCCAGGGAATGAGTAGCTGCTCCAGTGCAGAGGTTCTTTCTATATTTGTAGCATTTTCTGCTGTAAAAATCTCCTATTTTTGGTCACTCTCCCACTTCCACATGTCAGGGATTGCTACAAACTCCTCTCACCTCGCTCAGATATTTGGGGGTTGGATCTAGAAATGTCTTTGCTCTCTCCAGTCAGAAATCCTAATTAACATCTGCTGTTTTCCCCCAGGGTCACCCAGGTTTAATTGGTCTCATTGGGCCACCAGGAGAGCAGGGAGAAAAGGGTGACAGAGGCCTCCCAGGGCCCCAGGGCTCAGCAGGACCCAAGGGAGAGCAGGTAAATATTCCCTAAAACCTTTCTGGAATGTGCATTGGAGCATTGCACCCTCGAGGAGGTGCAGCATAGCAGAGATGGGCAACCCTGGCAGGAGATCCTTGGCAGTTTTTGAAGGATATTTTCTGTATTAATGTGGTTTATTCTGTGTGTGAAACATGGATTTGCTCCAAAATGACCCATTTTAGTGGGAAGCAGATTCTCAAGGGTCCTATGAAAGAGTTGAATAGACCTGGAGGGATGGTGCCATTAAATATTCATCTGAAGGGCTGATTTTTAAAAGTGTGAGCCTAAATGAGATAAGAGATTCCTTGCCCATGCTCTAAAAACCAGGTAAAGCTCCAGATTGGCCTGGAATCCCCCAAAACTGAGTGCCCACCTGTGAGCAGGGCTTGGATGTGTAATTTTAAGCTAGAATTTCAGATGAATATCATTTTCCTGTTGTCTTTTAGGGTATCACAGGTCCCTCTGGACCCATTGGACCTCCAGGGCCCCCAGGATTACCGGTAGGTGACAACCAATGACTTTGGAATTCCTTGGGAGCCCTCAGGAGCCACTTTGGTGGTGCCAGGAATGCCTAGCACAGCCCTGGCTGTAGGAGGATGTTGGGCACAATGGGGTTTTTTAGCTGAACCCTTTAAAAAGTCCTGGATAAGTTCCAGGAGTGCTGGAAGTGATGTGGGAGATGGGCACTGGGAAATCGTTCCCCCCTTGTTTCCCTCCCCTTTTCTTTTGGAGTATCTACAATCCCACGGGGATTTCTTGCCCTTTTTTGCTGATTTTCATCACTTTTTTGGTGCTAGCCTGGGGTGCCCAGCTGGGTGTTCTGAGCATGGAGTGGGATCAGCCTCACATTCCAGGAATCTCCCAGCAGCTTCCCCAGTCCCCACTGGGGCAGGAGTGTGGAGCTCTGCCACAAAAGCTTTTTGTCTGTTGGCAAATAAAAGCAGCACCCACCTGAAGTGAATGAGGGAAAATGGAAATAGAAAAGGAGTAAATTTTATAAAAAATCCCTTTCTGAACTCTCTGCTTGGAAATGAGCTGACTCCTTTCTGTATTTGCCTCTCCACAGGGTCCACCTGGTCCCAAGGGTGCTAAAGGCTCATCAGTGAGTATGGACACAACTAAAGGAAGAGGCTGAGGGGTTTTTATTGAGTGTGGGACACGCTGGGCCTCCCTTCATCAGCAAAATGAATGCAATCAGCAGAGAGGACTTAGGGAACTCTGCCTTTGCAGGCTGCCTAAGCCCAGCAGTGATAATTGGGGAAGGTTTCTGTGCCACAACTGCACTTCCCTGAAGAGCAGAGCAGCAGAGATCACAAGGAGCAATCCCAGTGCTTAGTCCTGAGGAGAAAAGCTGCTGCTGGAGAGCGGAGGGGATTAAAAATAGCCTGTGAAAAGCGGGAGGTGGGAAGTTGGAAAGTGAAGAACTCGCTGAGAAATGAGACTCTGGAGCTTCGTGGTGCACACCTGCTGTGCAGGCAGCTAAAAATTCATCTTTTGGGCAACTCCTTAGTGTCTTTTTTTTGCCATCCAGAATTCGGTGTTTTATTAATTGGAAGATTTTATTTGACTTGCAGAACTGTTGGGTTGGTTGGGAGAGTTGAAGATTTTATGCATTTTATGCATTCTGTAGGAAGCATAAGAAAAATCTGACTGTAACTCCAGGTGTTTGATCTTTTCTTTCACCTAAACACCAAAAATAACCAAAAATACTATTTTCTTGGGATGTGGGTACTGGGAGACTCATCTTGTGTGCCTGAAAGGACAAAAATGAAGTTTCTTTAGTTAAAATAATGTTTGGGATGTGATAAAAGTTCCAGATGAATTCTCCTGAGTGACTCCTGATTTTCCCTTGTTTTTCCATCCAGGGTCCCACAGGTCCCAAGGGTGAATCAGGTCTTCCTGGGCCCCCAGGGCCTCCTGTAAGTAGAACCCATAAGGTGAAGGATGAAATGAGGTTCAGACCTCGTGGCTGCTGGAATTTGGGAAGCAAAATCTCTGGACAAAGATTCCTTTCCAATCCTAGCAATGGGTTGGAGTCTCTTGGTGACACTGGGGGAAAAAGGATGGGAAGGGAGGAATTATTGATGGGAAGAGAACAAGGAAAGGTGGAAAATGTTGAAGCCAGAGGTTTTATCAGCACCACCCATGGCTGTTTTCCACGTCCAATGTGCATTTCGGGATGTTGCTGCTTTGTCCACCTCTCATGTCCTTTTCCCAATGGAATGAGAAGTTGTATCTTATTTTTTCCCCCAAAAATCAGGGTCCTCCTGGAGAAGTCATCCAGCCCCTGCCCATCCAGGCTGCCAAGAGGACCAGGAGGAACATTGATGCCAGCCAGCTGCTGGACGATGGCAATGCTGACAACTACATGGACTATGCTGATGGCATGGAGGAGATTTTTGGCTCCCTGAACTCCTTGAAACTGGAAATTGAGCAGATGAAGCATCCCCTGGGCACTCAGCACAACCCAGCACGCACCTGCAAGGACCTGCAGCTCTGCCACCCTGATTTCCCAGATGGTGTGTCCCAGGAAAGGGGGAATTGGAGGGAATTCCAGGGGTTTTGCAGCTTCACACAGAAGGAAGGGTTGGGAGACCAGGAATTTGGGGAGTCCATGGGGGATGTGGCTGGTGGAATATGTAGAGCTGGATGGATGTCACTGGGCAGCCCTTCCAGCTGAAAATGGGGATATGGGATGGAAAACCACCTTCAGCTGGCACCAGAGCATGACCAGCTTTCAAAAACTACTTATAAATAATAACCCATGAGAATTGTTATTTATAACTACCTATAAATAATAACCCATGAGAGGTGAAACACCCCAGGTGAGGAGGTGGCTGAAGTGCCCTCTGAGCTGATCCTTTCCTCCCTCCTCTCCCCTCATGCAGGTGAATACTGGGTTGATCCCAACCAAGGGTGCTCCAGGGACTCTTTCAAAGTTTACTGTAATTTCACAGCTGGTGGAGAGACCTGCATCTTCCCTGATAAGAAATCTGAAGGAGTAAGTCCACACCACCTTTGCTCTCCCCTCTGTGCTGGTGATAGATGGTTTCCTGATAGGAATATTCATAGGCAGCCAATTGAGCAGCAGCAAGGAAGGATCAAAGATCCAGAATGTTCCTTTGTTACACAACGTTACCTTCTACAATAGCATGGAATATGTTGACAAAGAGAAAATCAGATATAAACTGTGATTTGGGCCACCTCTGATGGTTTCCCAGGCATAATAAATGCTAAAACCTTCATTTTTTGGACTTTGCTGTCCAAGGCAGGGGTGTGTGTTGGTGCATGAATTGGGAGCTCTGTTTAACTCATTCCCTCCCACAGGCCTGCATGCCCAAGCACCACTGATTCCCCTCCTCTCCCTGTGTTTCCAGGCAGGGCAGATAAATGTTTCCCTCCTGTCATTTTTCCTGCTGTTCCTTGTGGGTAAATGATCCTGAATGATTGCAAGCAGGCTCAGAGCTCTCCCTGGCACTGCTGCACAAGGTTGATGAAGTGATTTGTGTAATGATGCTCTTAGCTCAGCCATACCCATCATTTTTGTCCTGTATCCCTGCACTCTGTTTTCCAGAGCTGCCTGGGGACCAGCTGTGGCACTGGCCAAGCAGAAACACAGCAATTCAGCCTGAGGGGAGCTGTGCCAGTGTCACAGTTGTGCTCCAGCTGTGACAAAGCTGAGCTGTTCTCCTGCTGCATTTCATCCACCAGAAATGTGTGTCAGCACAGCACAAAGCACACGCCACATAAATCCTGCCTGAGTTTTTCTTGGGGCTGTTTAAAGTGGAGATGGATTTCCTCTTGCTTTGCATCACTGAGCTGTGTTTTTCCTCAAAATTTGACAGCTCAAAAAGCAGAGTCTGGCCATGATCTTGCAGGGGCCTGAGCTCCTGCTGTGCTGGTTCAGTAAGGGGCTCTGTGGAGCTGCAGAACTCCTCAAATACAAATTTCATGCTGGGATCCACAAGAAAAAACTTCTCCCACCCAGAGGATGTAAAGAGGCACCCACCCCATCCCTGGGGGAGGCTGGGTGGGTTTGTGATGAGGCACAGCAGGGTTTCAGCCGTGGCTTTTCTCAGCCCATCCCTTCCCCAGCACAGACTCTGGGATTTGCTCTGCAGGTGACATCCTGCAAAGGGCAGGGCAGTCCCCAGTCTGCTGCTTTAGGAGACATTTCCAGCACAGATGAGGGCGCTGTGGGAGGCTGAGGGAGCAGCCACACTCCTTCCTTGTGGCTGCTGAGCTGGGGCTGCCTTAAGGATGCTCTGGTGGCTGATTCCTTGTCCATGTCACCCCTGCGGGTACCTGGAGCTCCATCCTGCGTGTCCAGCACCTCAGGCAGGCAGAGGCTTTTCCTTCATCACATCCTTTGCCTTTCCCAGCCCCACAGCACCTGGATTTGGCACTAGAGAGGCACCAGGCTTGTCCAGCACCAGCACTGCCCTCCACATGAAGATCAATGCACCTTTTCCCATCCATGCTTCCTTTTTCCCTCTCTGACTTTCCTTTTAATTTTCCTGCCACTGCTGGGTTTGCATCCCAAGTTCCCAGGAGGCATAGACAGCCCTCAGCAAAGGAGGCTGGTGCCAGAGCAGCACCACTCCATCCCTCTGCTTCAGAGCCACCTTCTGCTCTCATTACTGATGCATAAAGATAAAAAAAAAACAAAACATTTTAAATCAAGTTGGACAATTTCAATAAGACATGCAGACTCTGGAATGAAAGTAAACTTTTGAATTTTGATTGTATTTTTTTTCTTTCTCTCTCCCCTCCTTGCTGTCCACAAACTAGGCTAGAATTACTTCCTGGCCCAAGGAAAACCCAGGCTCGTGGTTCAGTGAATTCAAGCGCGGTAAACTGGTAAGATGCATCCTGGTGCTTGCTGTTTCCTTTAACCCCCTGTCATATTTTACAGAGTAAAATGGCTCGTTGGCCCAAAGAGCAGCCTGCCACATGGTATAGTCAATACAAGCGGGGGTCCTTGGTAAGTGGCTAACCCTGGCCCTGAATCAGAGCTTGGCACCTGCTTTGGTATGGCCACGCTGCTGCCCTCTGCATGCTGGACTAACCCCCCTGCCAGGCACGTGGAGGTGTTTAAGGTGGAATCCTGAGAGAGAGCCCAAAGCCTCTGGGGGGGCTTTGTTCCACTCTGCCTGACTGGGGACTGGGGAGCTGAGCTTTGCCCGGGGTTAGAAGGGGACACCCTGGGGACCCTGGGGCAGCTCTGTCTGCACAGAGCCCTGCAGGAGCTCTGCATCCCACAGGGAGAGCTGCATCCCACAGGGAACACTCCATCCCACAGGGAGTTCTGCATCCCACAGGGAGAGCTGCATCCCACAGGGAGTTCTGCATCCCTCAGGGTGAGCTGCATCCCTCAGGGAGTGCTTCATCCCACAGGGAATTCTGCATCCCACAGGGAACACTCTATCCCACAGGGAGAGCTGCATCCCATATAGAATTCTGCATCCCATATGGAGTTCTGCATCCCACAGGGAGAGCTGCATCCCTCAGGGAGAGCTGCATCCCACAGGGAGAGCTGCATCCCATATGGAATTCTGCATCCCATATGGAGTTCTGCATCCCACAGGGAGAGCTGCATCCCACAGGGAACACTCCATCCCACAGGGAGTGCTGCATCCCACAGGGAACACTCCATCCCACAGGGAGAGCTGCATCCCATATAGAATTCTGCATCCCATATGGAGTTCTGCATCCCACAGGGAGATCTGCATCCCTCAGGGAGAGCTGCATCCCTCAGGGAGTGCTTCATCCCACAGGGAATTCTGCATCCCACAGGGAGAGCTGCATCCCATATGGAATTCTGCATCCCATATGGAGTTCTGCATCCCACAGGGAATTCTCCATCCCACAGGGATCTCTGCATCCCACAGGGAATGGTCCATCCCACAGGGAGTTCTGCATCCCTCAGGGTGAGCTGCATCCCACAGGGAATTCTGCATCCCACAGGGAGTGCTTCATCCCCCAGGGAAAGCTGTTGCTGTCTCCTCCTCAGTCCCCATTTTGGGTGTCCCCATGTTGCTGTCCCCTTGTTGCTGTCCCCCAGCAGTGCAGCCTTACCCCAAGAGCTGAGAGATCCCTAAAATGCTGCTCCAGCCCCGAGCTGGGACCCAGGGGAGGAGCTGCACATCTCTGGCCTCTCCAGGACAGGTTTGCCCCATAGGGTGGATTTTGCCCCCATATGGAGATGAACCACTCTGGAGACTCCCATGCTGACCCCAGAGCTTGGGAGAACCAAAGTTGTTTATTTAAAGGAAGATTTCCAGCCAAGCCTAGTGCAAAGGAATTTGACTGAGTCACAATTAAGGATTTTTTTTCACGGGGGAAAAGCTGTTTTGAGGTCAAAGAAAGCATAAACCAGGAAAAGTTCTGGTTTCTTATCTGGTAACAGGACATGCACAGAGGCCCAGTGCTGGGCAGGGGTGTCAGATTTGTGTCTTCAGCCCCAGAAATGTCCCCTGGCCCATCAGTTCCCGTAGAATCAGCGGGATGCACGGAAGGCGCTCAGTCAAACCAGGAGAATGTGGGAACAGGCAAATATTCCCTGGACACAGCCAGCCTGCCCAGGGCCAGGAGAGGCTCTGCTGTGTCCCACTGGGTTGTCCCTCCCCAGGGCAGGGGTTCCTGCAGTGCCCCAGCTTCCACCTTAAAGGGCAAACAACCCAAGCCCTGCGTTGTTTCCCGTGTTTGCTGCATTCCATCGCCACTAAAACACATTTTGCTCTGATCCTGCCCTCGAGGAGGACACGGCTTCTGGGGCTTCTCTGCATCACCAAATCAGGCTGCAAAGCCAAGGCTTCAGCCTCCTGGCTCCTTGGAGGGCAGCTACTCATAGCTTAATTACAGAGCACTTCATCAGTTAATGTTCCAAGTGCCTCCACTTCTCCATCGCCCCTGCTTCTCCTTTTCCCAGCTCTGTTAGAGGCTCAGTTGCCAGCCTAGAGCTTAGGGCTTATTCTTTTTCAGATAAAAACATTTCTGGTGCTACTTGGAACTCTTTGTTCCATCCTTTTGTGTTGTCATTTTCCTGCCTTTTTTTTTTTTTTTTACCTGTCCTGCTTTTTCTATTTGGAAAAATTAAAAAAAGCCTCCAGTATGTGGAAGACCTACCTAAGCAAACCACAAAGCAGTCAAACACACAGGCCATAAAAGCTTTATTTATTTATATCTTTATTTATTTATTTTAAGATTGGCTCTGATTTTGCCTCAGTCACTATTTGGAACCATGAGATTGGTAAATTGAGGAGACATTTGCCTCAGCTGAAATTTGTGTGTGGAGTGGCAGAATCAAAAGGACTTTGAGTTCCTCTCTGGGTGTAACTCTGCTCCTGTCACTCCATGGAGAAGGTCCTGGTGTCTTGAGGGGCTGAACCCTTGGGGAGCCCCAAAGCTGAGGGGAAGATTTGCAGTGCTCCATATAAATCCTGGGGTTGCACAGCTGGCCAGATGCTGCCTTTCTTCTGGAGACACCTGAAGTGAGAGGGATGCAGTAAATATGAAATACAACCAAACCAGCTGGGTTTGATGCTCCCAACCATCATTCATCAATTCTACAGAGCCCTTGGAGCCAGTTCCTTACCTTTCCTCAGGATGCAGCCAAGCTGTGTTTAGAGGGATAAGAAACTTGCAGGTGTTTTTCTCTGTGTCTGTTACACACAACTGCCAGCAGCTCTAATGAGGCCTGCACCCATCCCATCCCATCCCATCCCATCCCATCCCATCCCTCCCAGCCACAGGACACCTGCCAGCACAGAGAAAAGAGGAAAGGATTGACTTTTCCCAAACTGAGCAAGCACTGTGCACAAAGCCAGCTCCCAGTGGCTCCAGCTGGAAAGCTGGGACAGGGCTTCACCAAATCTGCACATCCTGAACAAGAAAAGACCCCTTAAAAGGCAGCCAGGCTGCAAAACAAGCACTGGTTTGATATAAAACCAAATCAGAGTCAGTCCTGCAGCTCAGTAGTGCCACACTGGGTGTGTGACAAGTCCTTGGCATTTTTTGTCCCCTTCCTTCCACGTGCTGGTGGCTTTCTGGTAGCTCCTCCTGGCATGCGTGGCTCTCTCCTGGTCAGTCACATTTAACTCTCAGGAGGACAGTGCAGCAGCATCCTGACAACCGGTTGGTATCTTTGTTTATTTGGATTGTCTCTTTTAATTCAGTGTTTTCTTGTGGTTATCAATCAATCTCTTCTACTGTTTGCAGCCTGCACCACAGCTCGAGGGCTGGTGGCACCTGGAGGAAATCCACACTGGTTGGGTGCCTGGGTTTTGTTCCTGGTTGTTTCTAAAGAAATCCTCAGTCCATCCAGGGCAGTGGTTTGGAGATGCCACCTCAAGCACAGTCAGTTCGTACCTGCAAAAATTCATTTTGTGAAAGTCCCACAAAGTCCTGGATCCCCCAAGTGCTGGGATTGGGTTTCAATAATTTTTTTTTTGTAGGAATAAATTCTCCTGCATGGGAGACAAAGGAGCCTGGTGGGCAGAATGGAGCAAATCCCAGTGTGCAAGACTGGGATTCACAATCTGTGTTCACAACAGGGCAGCAAATCCATTTTCCCTTTACCTGAGCTGAGCTTTTCCAACCAGGGCAGCCCCCAGCCCTCATCAGCAGGGCCAGGATTGCTGTAGATGCAGTGCCAAGATTGCTTCAAACCCCAGGAAAAAGGAACGGAAAATACCCCAGAGTGTGCAGAAAAAAACACCCCCAGCAGTCAGAAATTTGTGTCAGACAGGACAGGAAAATAAAGCCCTGAACCCTCACAGAAATTCACCCTCTCTCCTCTTCAGAAGCTGGAGAAATACTCTCAAGATTGGCTTAATCCTGAGATATATCCCCAAATTCCCTCCCTCTTGCAGCCAGGGCTGAAATCCCCTTCTCTATTTCCCCCTGCCCTCCTTAGATTTAATCTTTTTGCTCACACCCTCACCCCACCCAGCAAGAGAACAAAAAGCCCCTGGGTGAGCAGAGCAGCATCTGTGGTGACACTGGTGTCCCTCAGGATCAATGTCTGTGGTGGTGACCCTGGTGTCCCTCAGGAGCATGTCATGGTGACACTGGTGTCCTTTAGGAGCAGTGTCTGTGTTGGTGACACCGGTGTCCCTCAGGAGCAGTGTCTGTGGTGACATTGGTGTCATTCAGGAGCAGTGTCTGGGCTGGAGACACTGGTGTCCTTCAGGAGCAGTGTCTGTGGTGACCCTGGTGTCCCTCAGGAGCATGTCATGGTGACACTGGTGTCCCTCAGGAGCAGTGTGTGCTGGTGACCCTGGTGTCCCTCAGGAGCAGTGTCTGTGGTGACACTGGTGTCCCTCAGGAGCAGTGTCTGTGATGACACTGGTGTCCCTCAGGAGCAGTGTCTGTGGTGACACTGGTGTCCCTCAGGAGCAGTGTCTGTGATAACATTGGTGTCTCTCAGGAGCAGTGTCTGTGTTGGTGTCCCTGGTGTCCCTCAGGAGCAGTGTCTGGGCTGGTGACACTGGTGTCCTTCAGGAGCAGTGTGTGCTGGTGACACTGGTGTCCTTCAGGAGCAGTGTCTGTGTGACACTGGTGTCCCTCAGAGCCCCCAGCTCAGGATCAGTCTGTGGTGGTGACCCTGGTGTCCCTCAGGAGCATGTCATGGTGACCCTGGTGTCCCTCAGAGCCCCCAGCTGTGTCTCCCTGTCCCTCACTGCCCAGTGTTGTCCCTTGTCCCCCTCTCCCAGCTCTCCTACGTGGACTCGGACGGGAACCCCATCGGGGTGGTGCAGATGACCTTCCTGCGTCTGCTGAGCGCCTCGGCCCGCCAGAACATCACCTACAACTGCTACCAGTCGGTGGCCTGGCACGATGCCACCACCAACAGCTACGACAAGGCCATCCGCTTCCTGGGCTCCAACGACGAGGAGATGTCCTACGACAACAACCCCTACATCCGGCCTGCCCTCGACGGCTGCGCGGTACGTGGGGGCTCCTGGCCTTGGGGACACCTTGGGGACACCTTGGGGACACCTCTGTGCCCTCCCCTGCTTGAACAGCACTGTCTTCCCCAGAGCAGATCACCCCCAAATTTCTGGTGCTTCAGGGTTGTCCTTGATGTGGGAGACATCAACATGCTCTTGCCCAAGTTGGAAATAAATGATTTGATGGGAATCTGTGATCCTGCTGGAAGTCAGGGGAAGCTGCAGCACCTCCAGAGGTCAAATCAATCTGATTAATCCAATTTATCTGCCTAAAAATGCTGCTTGCTTTTTTTAAAAGCCTCCCTGTGCTTTTGCTCTCACCCAATTCCTTACACAGGGAGAGGCGAGCGATGGCGCCCAGTTGGGTTGGAAATGTGCAGGGTTTGATAAAGATCTTTGTAACTGCTTTCAGGAATTCTGAAAATTGGGATTGGGAATTTACAGGGTTTGATAAGGAGCTTTTCTTTCAGAAATTCTGAAAATTTGGGTTGGGAATTTGCAGGGTTTGATAAAGGTCTTTGTAACTGCTTTCAGGAATTCTGAAAATTGGGGTTGGAAATTTACAGGGTTTGATAAGGAGCTTTTCTTTCAGAAATTCTGAAAATTGGGGTTGGAAATGTGCAGGGTTTGATAAAGGTCTTTGTAACTTCTTTCAGGAATTCTGAAAATTGGGGTTGGAAATTTACAGGGTTTGATAAGGAGCTTTTCTTTAAGAAATTCTTAAAATTTGGGTTGGGAATTTGCAGGGTTTGATAGGGATCTTTGTAACTGCTTTCAGAAATTCTGGGAGGCAGAGCAGGATGGGTTTGGTTGGAATTTTTGTTTTTGCAGGCCCAGGAGGGCTCTGGGCTGTGCTGCTCATGGGGTGCCCAAGCACAGCCACAGTTTCCAAAGGTGCCTCACGTCCTCCCTTTTCTTTAACTCCTCTTGGATGCTTGATTTGGGTTTAAACTCTGAAAATTCTGCCCTCAGGAGATAAAAATTTGGCAAAGCAGGTGTTGCATGCATTTATTTTGAGCCCCAGCTTGCTGGTGTAAAAACATGAATAATTCCCACCCTCTGGAACTGCAGCACTTGGAGCCCACGGGACAGAAAGATTGAGATGTTTGACAGAAAAAGCTCCTCATGTAATTTGAGATTGAAACGCTTCTGCTCTGGCACAAACAGATTTTTTTTACTGATGGAGCAATGAGGAAAATCAGATTAGAACTTTTAGCACATTCCTGGAGAGGGAAAGGGCATCCAGCCCCCTTCTGGAAACACTCAGGAGAAGTTTATCCTCAAGTTTTTCGTGTCTCCTGCTGACATAACGTCCTTGAGGAAAAAGGGCCTTCTCCTCCCTTCCCCTCTGAATCTCAGGCTTGCTGGAGGAGCACATGCTGCACATTTTAAAGGGGATGAGCCTCCTGAAAGCCTCCACCTTTTGGGCAGATAAATTGAATTAATCTGCTATCCTGGCAGATCGTGCTGCCCAAAGCACAGGCAGGATATTTGAGATTTATCTATTTACTTAAAAGGAGTTTGGGCTTTACAATTGATTTTCTACATTAAAGATGATTTTAGTCTGACTCTTAGACCCATAAAAAGGCTGTTAGGAATTTAGAGAACTCCACCAGGAGTTTAGAGGTGCTTTTATGTCTTTTTTGGGAGCGAGTGCTACAACCCATCCAATTGCTGGGCTCAGCTGTGCTGGGTTAATGGTTGCACTCAGTCCTAAAGGTCTTTTCCACCCTAAATGATTCCAGGATTGAGCCCTCCCCTGTGGAGATGAGGCTGGGCTGTCCCACACGGGGTTGCCACAGAGGTCCTGCTGTGGTGGGGAGGCTGCTGAAGCCAGGGCTGATGTTCTTCCCATAATCTGAATATGTTTTTCCTGAACTTCCAGCCCTTTCTCATAGCTGTGCTCCAGCCAATTCTCTGGAGCCACACAAATCACAGGGAAAGGTAGAGCCCAAAGCTGCTCCATAAATTCTCTTGTTTGTGCAGCTTTGTATGCCCTCGGGGGGTACTTCTGCTCCTCTAATAATTATTTATATTTTGGAAACAACTCCATGGCCACCAGGCATGATAAAAAGACAGCAGCACCTTGTGCATTCCACCCAACTTTAAATGTGATCTTTTCAGTAATGTATTCAAATTAAATTGCTACCATTTGCCCAACGAGCCAGGTGTGTCCTGGGGGAGGGAAAACAACCTTTCCACAGCCCAAACTTTTCCAGGCTCCCATTCCAGCCTGGAAATGTGCTGGAGCAGAGTTAGAGTGTCTTGATCTGCTTCTGCTCCAAGGTCTGGGCACCTCCCAAGGGGTTTTTCAGCACATGTATTAAACGTGCAAGTAAATTTATTTGGGTGGCGGTGACTCCGATTTGGGTCCAAAAATTCCCAGCAAAAAATCAACCCCACATTCCCAGCAGAGTGGTGATTATTCAGTTGTGCTGATGTTGGCTTGGAGGCATCCTCAGAGCTCCTCTTTCCCTCATTCCAGGCAAGGAAGGGCTACCAGAAAACCATCCTGGAGATCAACACGCCCAAAGTGGAGCAGGTCCCCATAGTCGACATCATGTTCAATGACTTCGGAGAAGCGGCACAGAAATTTGGATTCGAGGTGGGACCAGCTTGCTTCCTGGGCTAAAAGAGCCACCTGAACCTAGTCTCCAAATGAGCAACCTCGTAACCTCATTGCGCCATTTAATTAAAAACAAAAAAAGAGAAAAAAGAAAAAAAAACGGAGAAAAAAAAAGAATTCCTCGTCACGTGCACGGTCTGAAACTGGACAGCGATGGGTTATTATTTTTTTTTCCCCTCCTCCCCCCCTATTTTGTTGTGTCCCTGGTTTTGCCCCAGCCCCTCTGTGCCCCCCTCAGCCATTCCCAGGATGGATATGGAATCTCATGACCGACAGCCACACACGGAGACCTGGCCCTGTCCCTGCTGCCACCGAGCTGAGCCCACCTCCAGCAAACTCCTCCTGCTTCCTCCTCCTCCTCTCACCAGAAAGCGTTTGTTTGTTCCTAAGGGAAAAAAAAAAAGAAATATGGAAAAAACTTGAAATTCCTCGTGTCCAGCTCGATGTTGAAGTCCTGGCAGTCCTGGATCTGAAGCTCCTCAGAGGGGTTTTGTTGCCTTCCACGAGGTTTGGATCAGCTCCAGCATGGCCAATTCCAGAATTTTCCATGTTTCCTCCGCTGAGTTTGCCTCATTCCACGTTTTCCAAAGTGCTGACTCTCAAGGTCACACTGGGCATCTCTTTGCCTTGTCTTAAAGGTGCTTCTATTTTTGTATGTTTGTGAGTAAATATTTGTATCGTATTTTATTTGAAATGTTGGAATGTTTCCGCCTTCAAACCATGCAAGTGACCTTGTCTGTATTAAAGCCACCCGGTCCCAGCCAAGCTTCCAGCTGGGAATGAAGACAGCAGCTCCTGTCCCCACTTCTGCCTCTTCCCAGCCCCAAACTGGGATCTGGAGCCTTGGAATTTCCCCCAGGATCAGGTGCAAACCAGCCCCCTGAGCCACAGATGCCTTTTGGAATGATTCCTTTCAAAATGAGGAAATTAAAGCTACTTTTTTAACAAAATTCCCTACAAATCCCCTAATCTAAAAGCAGGATCTGCATTGAGTCTCTGCCTTTTCATCCACTTGCTTAACACCCATATTTTAAATGAATTCTTCTTTTTTTTCTTTCAGCATTTCTTTAAAATGATAAGAATTAAACCTGAATCCATTCCCAGTGGCAGATCCCAGTGGCAGGGGAAATCCATTTGTCCTCTCTGAATATCAAGAATAAAAACAAGAAAAAAAAAAAAAAAAAAAAAGGAAGAAGAAGAAAAAAGGTGCTTTTTATAGTTATTTTTACATATCTCTGTGGTGCTATCTGATAACTTTAACACAACACTGGGGATACCCTGCCACTGGTCAATCTCCCACTTGGCTTTTTAGGCACTTTCAGGCAGATTTTGGCTGCTGATAAATGCATGGCACCTTCTTATCTCTTCTGTCCAAATCCTGCTCCTCTCCTTCCTTAGATGGGCCCGTGTAGGAAAAAGCATTTAAATGTCCTTACCATTTTTTTTTTATTATTCTTATTTTTTGGTTTTCCCAAGGATATCCACGTCTTTTCCCAGTTGGAAGCAGAGCAGATTGTCCTCAGTGGCTGAACGTTTGTGGTGCTAATTTATGTAGATGTTGGGTGTCCTGAAGCCGTGGGGGTGCTGCCCGCCCAGCAATCCGGGGAATTTGCAATTTTCCTGCTCTTCCCACTTTTTCTTTTTTTTTTTTTAATTCCTTCCACGGCTCACAACGTGCTGACACCCTCCTCTTTTCCCATTTATTTTCCCTCCTTGCCCGTTTTCCTTCTTCAGGTCTCTCAGCTGGAAAAAGAACTGTTGCAAGGTGGGGTTTTTATAAATTATTATTATTATTATTTTTATTATTGTTATTATTATTATTATCCTTCGGCCCGGAGCGTTCAGCTCAAGGGGGATTTTTCACCACCAAGGAAAAGACATCACATTTACTGTGAAAAAAGCCTATATATGATGTCTTTTCCCCCCTCCTGCCCAAACTGGGAGCAGCAGCATCCGAGGGAGGGAGGCAGAGCCGTGCTGGAGGGAGCGGCCGTGCCCGAGGTGCTTTTTGGGGCCTGGAGGAGCCGTGTCCATCCCTCTCCCTTCTTCTCCTGTGCTCTCTCTCCCACTTTAGGGAATTGAAAAAAAAAAAAAAAACAAACCCAAAAGGTGCTACCCTAAAAACTGCAGACTCCGGGCAGCAGAGCAGTGAAGAGGAATTTAGGATAATAAATAAGGAATTCAGCTTCTCAGTCACCTTGGCAACAGCGGGAAGGGCAGGAAAGGTTGCACATCCCAGCAAAGCCATATCCTGATATTTCTGATATTTTGATATTTGTCCACACCTGTGTGTCTGCCCAGGTCATGGGATTCTGTTCTCAATTTTCTCAATTTTCTCATCAAGGGAGCTTTTTTTTTTTTTTTTTTTTTCCTTTTGATTTCTCTGCTTGAAGAAGAAGAAGAAAAAAGAAAAGAAAAAAGAATAAAAAATTTCCTCTGTTGAATTCCACAGTGTTGTAATTGTACTGAGCTCCCAACTGTTCCAATCCCCCCCAGACCACTTAGCTACGGTATATTGCAATAAAATTACTACTTGTATTTGCAGACCTTCTTTTTGTGTAATTTTATTTCCCTCCTCCCCTTAATATATATTGATTTGAACAAATGTTGATAAGAAAAATAAAACCTATGGAAAAAAAACCCCAACTTTTAGTACATAAGGCCCTTTTTACAATATAGTGTCAAATGCCGTATTGTACATTTCTTCAAAGTCCAATAAACATGTCATAAAATTTAAGTGTAATGCCCATAAGAGCTATTTTTAAATATTTTAAACCTGTGTAATAAAGGAATAAATGTAATAGATTTTTTTTTTCAATAAATCAAGTTTACTGTTTCCACCTAAACCCCCGTGATGTTGAATCTCTTCTTGGAGTTGATTGCAGCGGGATCTGCCCCATGGAGCCTGGAAAGTTCATCAGAGCTGCAGTGGAAGTGCTTAAAGGTAAACAAATACTGTAAAATACAACCCAAACCCACCATGGGGAGGGATTCCAGGCCTGGAATCTTTTCTTTGTTGTTTGGGGGTTTTTTTTTTTCCTTCTCAGTGAGACGTTCCAGTGCAAAAATGCAACCTGGTTTTGCTTGGATGTGGAGGAGAAGATTGTGTGGCCACCAGCTCTTCACCTTCACAGCAGCAGGAGCTTCACCAGAGACGTTTTTCTCTTGTTGATCTTCTCATACCAAGACAAATTCAGGGGAAAAAAAAACATTCCAGCTTCTTGGTGAGCTCCTCAACCCCCAATTTCCCATTCTTGGCCCCAGGGCTCTGCCGTGGGGAGGGAAACACCACGGGGGACACTTTGCTCATCCTCTCCTCCTCCTCCTCCTCCTCCTCTCCTGCAGGTTTCACTCCAGGATCCTCTGGAATTTGCTGTGGGAGACTCCACCAATGGCTGTCACTGGATCTGAGTCACTCTGGCCCTCAGGGGCTTCTTCAAACAAGCCCTGCTTGGTGCTGCAGCTCCAGGAGGTGCTGGACCTTCAGGAGGTGACACCTGGAGCTCTGCAGGTGGGTCAGGGGCCACCAACCCAGCTCTGCAGTGACCAAGCCAAGCTCTGTGTCCCAAAAGCTTCTGCCCTTCATTCTTTGGCTGCAGAAGGTCTTTGATGGTCTTCATTCTTTGCTGAAAGAAAAGGGAAGGAGCCAAAGTCACAGATTGGGGTGGGCTGGAAGGGAAATTGAAGATCAGCCAGTTCCATGGGCAGGGACACCTTCCACAGCCCAGGGTGCTCCAAACCCCATCCCACCAGGGCCTGAAATGGTTTAATCTTTAGTTATTTAATCTGTCATTAACTTCTAGGAGTAGTTTTGGGAAATCTTGGGGTGTTTCGGCCAAATCTTCATCCAGATAGACCCCAGAAATGCAGAGGTACCAGAGCTGCAGGAAAAAATGAGGGCAAAATAACTTTATTTGCTTAAACCCAGCTGGTAACACTTCACTTGGACCTGGATCAGCTTCAAGGTGACCCCAGGCCCTTCTCAGCAGTTGTGATTTGCACTCAATCACTGCTGCTTGCAGCAAACACCTCGGTGCTGAGGGAAGCTTTGATCTGCTATTAGGGAAAACCAGAGATCTGAGGAGGGATCTGACTGTTTCTGGCACTGCCAGACACAGGAGCCCTGGCAGATCTTCCACCTCTTTTCACAGAACAAAGTCCATGGTTTAGTGCTGCAGCTCCAAAGCTGCAACTCCAGCAGGTGAAACACTGGGGGGAATTTTTAGAAGAGCCACAGAAACAGCAGCAGATTATTGAGACAGAGCGTGAGCACCCAAACCTGCGCGGTTATGGGGTGAGGATGGGGCTGCTCATCCCAAATTCCAGCAGCAGGGATCCTCCAGGGGCAGGACCAGGAGCACAAACCTCAGGAAGCAGCAAAGGGAGGATGCAAAGCACCAAGCTCAGCACCCAGCCCAGGGAATGGGAATTACCCAAGGGCAGCTGATCCCAGTGGGGTTTCCACAGCTTTTAAAGCAGCCAAGGGGAGGCTGCAGGGCCTGGGGCTGCTGCTCTGCCTTGCCCTGCTTGTGGGGTGTGAAAAACACCAATCACTGGTTTTTAAAATCTTAAAAGTTTAATAGTAGTAAAATGGTTATGAAAATAGTAATGCAATTAGAGTAATAATAATTTGGACAATTTGGATTAGGACAATATGAGACAATAGAGACAAAGAGTTAAGGACATCCGGGTACCTTTTCAAAAGGCCCCACGTTAACAGAGGATTAACCCTTAAAAACAACAGCCTGTTGCATATTCATACACCTCATCCATGATGCATAAATTCCATTCAAACACAGGATTCTGGCTGGGCAGTGTCAACTTCTTCCTCTGAATCCTGACATCACCTTCAAGGCAGGAAGAAGTTCATTTCTCCTAATAATGGAGCAATAAATTCTCTTTCTCTGAAAGATTCAGGTGTCCTGTGGCTGCCATCTCACTGCCAGTCCTTTCTTTAGAAAAGTATCCTCCATAGCACAGTTTCTGTTTTAACATTTTTTTATAACCTAAAACTATATTTAACACAGTACTTAAGAGCATTAATACAGCATTACTTTCTAACACAACACATATAATATCCATTTGAGTATTTGCAAAAAGCCAATCATAAAATACACATTTTTCACATGGGGTTTTATTCTAAGTGCCCTGGGCTGGGATTTCTGCCCTGCTGTGTGAGCACAGCAGGTGAAGCCTGCAGAGTTTTCCCCTCAGTGTTGGTTCAGCAGTGGCCTGAGCTGGCCCAGGCAGGAGGATGTGTCCATGTGCTTCCCACACTGCTGCCAGGGGTAAAACAGGAGCTGCTGTGAGCTTTGCTGTCTGCCTGGCACATGGGAACAGTACCTCTGCATTTCTGG